GTCATCGAACTATTAAAAAACGTTCAATTAAGCCCTTTTGGTCGGTAAGTAATCGGTTTCCCGGTTAAATGTAACCCGTTTCCCGGCAGCCGCCGTTGCTGGGGTTCGAGCACATCGTTGCCGTCGTCACCGTTTAACCGGGAAACCGGTTACTTACCGATTGAAAGGGCTTAATTAAACGTTTTTTTAATAGTTCGAGGACATAATTGAGTGTTTGTAAAGTACGAGGGCCTAATCGACTTTTTTGGCATAGTACGGGGGCTTATTTGATAGTTTTCCCAATAAATAAAGTATTAGGTATTTATGAAATATTCATTATATTCATAATTATATTTCTACTTATTTTAGAAAAAGGCCCACATTTTGTTTTTGCACAGGGCCCATGTTTTCTTAGGACCGGCCCTGAAATATACATTATGAGAAAATGCTTAGCAGGGACTTTCACACAAATGCCCTAAGAGTAGGCGGAGATGACTTCTTTGAGTTAATTAAATACAGCTTCTTTTAAAATCTGGTCCAAAGAAAAGAAGTGTTTGGGACTTATTTCTCTCTTAAGCATTTTGCGTTAAAAAGCTAGCCTCGGAAAGACAACAATTAAAGGGAAATAAGCTACGTTCTTCTCGTTGCAACGACTATGTTTTCATAATGATATACCACATCAAGATGGTTTTACAGGAAAGTGACATCCTTTATAAAGGTTGGAATTGTTATCCAAAAATTCGTATATATTTGCGTGCATTAATTAGATAAATAGAAGGAAAAGAAAATACTTGTATCAATCAAGTCCAACAAAAGTGTTGTTTCCTTAAGACGTTTTTGCCCGACACACGTAGCAAGCGTCTCCCAGGATAGAACGGTTCTTCGCTCCCAACGGGATTCCGGCGAACTCAAATATGCAACGAAGGAAGAGAGAATTTGAGGAATTGTTAGTGAATTTTCGATGTCACAAAAGTGAAGAAAAGGCGGGTATTTATAGAGTTCTGGCCAGGAGTCTCTTAACCCAAAAGACACCTTTTAAAAGAAAGTTCATGACCTTTCTTTTAAAACGAATGATTGTGTCTTTTATTTGGTTTTATCCGAAAAACGTAGCAAAAATAAATCTTCCTATCTTAAGCCCGATTGTTGACTCGTCAAAGACCCGAACCCGACCGACTGACGGCGGCAGTGTATGCGTGTTAAGTATAATTTCACGCTTATCTTTCGGGGAATAATTTCTCATTCATTTCAAAATGATTTTTACAAATAATATTAATGACCATAATATTAATTTGTAAAACCATTTTTCGAATAACAAATTAATGTGAACTTTTTAATAGCAACACTAAATCCGCTTGAATACACACTTACATAGAAAATAATGATGGTGTTACCAAGAATCCAACATCAATTTATTTATCAACAAAGACACCTCGATTTGAATTATGTAGAAATCGATAATGAGTTTAATTAATTACCCCAACAATAAAAAATAAGTAAATATATTTTGGTTTGATGTTTGTCACAAGAATAAAAGACCGGCTTAGTAATAACATTACAAAATAAACAAAAGGACCATGAATAAAGAAGTATTTTTTCACTCTTTAGTTCACCTTACTATTCCATCTTATTGCTTATTGACATCCTTCATAAAAACTTTAAAAGGGGAGTTTGCAGTTGATGGATAGTCTACCCGGGGGGTATCTTATCCGAGGGGTTATTGCGGGAATAACTAGAGAGAAGTCAGAGCAAAATAGGAGGAGAGAGAGTCGATTTATTAAATGAACTCAGCGTGTGGAGTTGAGATGTAGGTTGTGTCGATTACAAGGAGAAATGGGCTGCTATTTATAGCAGCAATAAATGCGATGAGAGGACACGTGTCAGTAATCCTGCGGCCGAAGGGTCACATCAGCCGGTTGGCACCGGCAGTGGTACGTCCACCGCATTGAATGCGGTTGGCGGATGTGACGTGGTATTAAATGCGGTGGTTGGCTGTCTCTAAAAGGAATCTTCGATGATTGAGCTAGTTCAGCCGAAGGCTCCCGGTGCAGCCGAAGGCTCCCGGTGTAGCCGAAGGCTCCTGATGTAGCCGAGGGCTCCTTGTGTAGCCGAGGGCTCCATGTGGTGAGGACCCTTGCACGGCCGAAGGCCCCGTGTGACCGAAGGCGTAGCAATGCCGAGGGCGTAGCGATGCCGAAGGCTCATTCTTCGCCCGTTTTCTCCCAGTAGCTTCCTATGCCGAAAAGGCCATTCTGTGAGTTCTGGAGCCTTCGGCCAAGGAGGCCGAAGGCACCCCAGTGTGTATTCTGGGCCACTTTGAGGCTGGGGCCGTCGTACTTGGGCCTGAGTTGTTTCCTGAGCTCAATGGACTAGTGTAGGAGAAACAGGAGTCTATGGGCCGGGGGTTCGTGGGCCATATACTCCATCAGGAGTCCCTCACTCCTTTTGCCGAAAGGTACTTGAGGGAAAAGGAGTAGATGTGTTGATTCTTCTGGAGGCTTCATCATTTCGCTGGGTGCCTTTGCTGGAGAACTTGTCTTCTGCTGATTGCCGAAGGCTTCCCTCAGTCCCTCACATGTCGAGGGTTTTCTGAGGGAAGGTATTCACGACCTTCGCATGTTCGCCGATGGCCCCCTCAGTCCCTCACATGTCGAGGGCTTTCTGAGGGCAGTATAACACCTGTATGACCGCAGAAGGCTTTCCTCAGTCCCTCACATGTCGAGGGTTTTCTGGGGAAAGCATAGATGTATTGCCTGCATGTGTTGTGATGAGGGCTGCTTCATTCCCGCAAGTGACTTGGGGAAAACTTGTGATATCTTGCCTCTGCCGAAGGGTATATTGGAGCATGTACCCGGGGGGTTTCTGCTCTGGTGCCCGGAGGCTACATGCGTCAATTGTAAATCTTTGCATGAGGGAATTTTTGTTTTTGTATGATTCCCGAGGGGTGTATCCCAGTCCCCCACTCCTTTGGGCCGAAGGTTAGTTCGGGCTGAAGGAGTTATGATGTGTTGATGCAAACCCGAGGGGTGATATTATTGATAAGCGCTTATGCTGCCGCAGGCTTGAAGGCACTATGTTGGAATGCATTGGCTGAAGGCTGTGGGAGTGTTAGCCGGAGGCTGCAAAGATGAGCTCGCCTCAAGTTTTTAAAACAGAGCCGTTGGAATAGAGCCGTTGGAGAGGGGTTCCACGTGTCAAGTTTTTGGTGGCTGAGAGTGGGCGGATGGCGCCCATTGGTCAAATCGGCGGCATGTAATGATGGCTTTTCAAACGGAGGCCCAATTCTCGAGGCTGAAGGCCTATAAGTACCCCAAGGCGGAGCTCAGTTTCCTTGTGCGTTTTTATGCGATAGCGAAGCTCTGCCAAAATTTCTAGAGAGAGAAAGTCCTTGCTTCGATCAAACCCTATTTCTAAGGTCAGTTCTTCCTCAGTTCTTCGTTTCTTCAGTATACTTAGCTACTTCGGCCTTAGATTAAGTGTTTTTAGTTCCCCCTAGTTAGTATCCTCTTCCAATCTTCCTCCTCACTCTACGGAAAGATGTCCTCGGCAAGCGACTCCCAAAACATCTCGGAGGAAGCCCCCGCCCAATCTGAAAGCTACTTGGGTATGGAGTCATCGAGCGAGGCTTCGTCCAACAATGATTCTGAGGTGGCGAGAGAGGTACAAAGCAACCTTCATGCTGAGGTCGAAGCCGAAGACTTCGAACAGGTCGCTGAGGACGAGGAGATGGCCCTCGCGCTTCAGGTAGCCGAGGAAGAGGAGGAGAAGGAGAGGCAACGTGTCACGGTTGCCTTTTTGCCTTCGCGAGGCGCCGGTGAAACGAGTAGCTCCCGGCCAATTGACGCAGTGCCCCTCCGGGTGGCTTCGGGGAAGAAGGGAAAGAAGCAGAAGGTTGTCCAGAAGAAGAAACAGGCTGCGGTAGATGCAGGACAGCCGGTGGGAATTCCCGAAGGACATTCCTACCTCAACACAGCCGCGCTAGATTTGAAGACGAAGGCTGTGGAGGCGGAGTATCTGAAGACTCAGCTCTTAGTGGGCCCGTCGGCACAGGTGGTGGTGCCAGGTCCTGACGACGTGCTGTTATCTCCCCCCGAAGGCTGCTTTGCTGTGCATATCCTCTCGGTGGAGTTGGGCCTCCGCTTCCCCTTGCACCCCTTCGTCGTGCAGTACCTCCGGTTCGTAGGCCTCGCTCCCTGTCAGTTAACCCCCAACAGCCATTCATACTTGGCGGGGTTCCTTTCTCTGTGTGATTCCCGGGGGGTGGAACCTTCTCTTGACCAGTTTTTCCTGTCCTTCAACCTTTGCCGAGGGGGGGCCGCAAACAGTGAAGGCTTCGCCAACCTTCAACAGCTGCCGGCATGGAGGCTGTTTTCAGAGGTGCCCTCGTCCCACAAGGGATGGAAGGATCGGTTCTGCTACCTGAGGATGCTGGGAGCTGATTTCCCGAGGCCTCTCCGCAATCATTTCCGGAGGCACCCCAAGGTAGGCAACGCCGCCCTTGAGAGTGATGGGAAGAAACTGAAGGCGAAGCCTCCGGGTTCAGAGAAGCTGACAACCATCAAGGCCGCCACGCTCCCGGAAGAGCTGTTCAAGCTGGAATTCCGGCGGTATCGCCTGCCAGGGGAGAAAGACGAGAGATATCCTCTCCTTGACCGGGGCTCTCCGGGTGTTAGAGGTTGTTGCCGAGGGCCATTACTGTTAGTACTTAGAGATGTAAATCCCTGATTTGCTTTTGACTAACTTTTTCCTTGATGTTCTTTTGCAGGCGATTTTATGGACCCGAAGGCATTCTCCAAGCTGTCCCGGCAACTGGCCAAGGACAAGAAGAAGAAGGAGGAGAGGCCCCCGGCACAGCCGCAGGGAGATGTCCTCTCCAAGAAGCAGGAGACCCCTGAGGGTCAAGGGCCCCCGGAGGGGGTTGTAATCGCTGGCGCCGGTTCTGATGCCGGAGGCTCCAAGGAGGGGGGGCTCAAGCGAAAAAACGCCGGGAAGGGCGTCAGGCCTCCGGAAGGAAAAAAATTGAAGGGGGACGTTGAGCCGAAGGATACCCCCGTGGTGATCATTGATGACCCCCCAGCCGGCCAATCGTCTGCCACTGCTCCCCCGGAGGATCTTGTCGAGGGTGCCTGGCCCCTTGAAACAGTACACTTCCCCATCAAGAAGGGGACAGCCATCATGCATGGCACCCTCGACCCGAGGGAATTCTTGAGGGGTGCCACCCCTTCGGTGGATAGGTCCACCCTTAGCCGGTTCGGGGACGAAGCCCTCGAGCTCAAGGCCCTCCAGGCCTCGGCCACTGTAAGTATTTCGACCTTTGGAATCTTCTGTTATTGTGTTCCTTTTCCTTTGCATAATCTGATCCCAGGTGTACCCCTGTTTGCTTGCAGGCTAGCTTGGCCTTCGGGGAACTTGTCCGCAGGGCGGAACAGCACCGCCTCGAGAAGGCGAAGTCTGACGAGGTGACGAGGAAGCTCATTGCCAATAACACTGAGGCCATCAGGCAGCTCGCTATGTTGGAGGAGGCCCTTCGGCAGGCCGAGCAGAAGCTGGAGGGGGCCAAGAGTGAGGCGAGGGCCGAGGGCATCGCCCAGGGGAAGGCTGAGGCAGAGAGGGCTGCCGCTGAGGCCGCCATAGCAGCCGCCGAGGAAGCCGAAAGGGCCAAGGCCGAAGCCGTTGCTAAAGCTGCCGAGGATGCCGTTGCCTCTTATGTTGCCGAGGGGTGGAGGTCTGAAGAGCAAAAACCGTGGCTGGCTTCGGTCGTGGAGACTTCGGTGGATGATTGGGTCAAAGGCCCCGGGGCCATGTGGCTTGCTCTGAAGGGGAAGAGTTTCTATGAGGGGGGCCAGTATTTCACGCAAGCCATGCTCTACCGGAAGCTGGCTCGGCATTTTGGGGTGGACCCCAAGGACTTTGATCCCACGCCTTACGGCCTTCCCCCCCTGCTCCAAGACGTCAGGATTCCCCTTCCAGAAGGCGAAGAGAGGCAGCTTCTGGAGGACTCGGAGCTGGATAGGCTGGCCTCGGATGATGAAGGAGAAGCTGAGGATGACGCCTCCTCCAAACCGAAGGGAGATACAACAAAAGATGTTGCAGCTTGAAGTTTTACCAAGTGTAATGTTGTAATAGTCTGTAGTCCCCGGCCTCGGCCATACTTTGTGATGAAACATGATTGTATTTTAAATATTTTTCTTGGATGAATGAATGATCGCCTTCGGGCTCTTGTTGATTGAATGCCTCCGTCTCTGCAATTTCCTCTTTATGATTGCTTCCTTTATCTGCATGAATGTTTGGTTGAATGCCGTAAGTTTGTGGACTTAGAAATTTTTCCAAGTAACCTGGCAGTAAGCCTCCGGTTGTAGTGTTGAGTCTCCAGGGGCCTGTTGTTGTGGAATAATCAAATTTTCCAAGTAAACTTGATCAGAACCCTTCGGATGTAGGGTAGAATCATCGGGGGGTTAGTGATCGTGGACTTAGAATATTTTCTAAGTAAGAACTTTTGTTGCGAGCCTCCGGTCGTAGCGTAGGACCAACCCCCTTCGGATGTTCGTAGTAGTAGTAGTGTAGCTTCTGGCTATTGCCAAGTAGTTTGGGAGGCCATCGGCCATGAGTCAACAGATACCGTAGTGAACCTTCGAGCGTGAGAACTGCCGAGCCCCCGGTGTATATGATTGCCGAGGGGTCCAAGATTATGGACTCAGTGAAATTCTGAGATTTGTTGAGATCGTTTGAATGAGCTTGGTGATCCTCCATCCCTTGGCATGAACCCTCCGGTTCGTGTAGATAATAGATTTAGCTTGCCTTAGGACTTAGCCAAATTTAGGTGAAGCTTTGATAGTAAGCCCTCTTCATATTCCTTCGGTGGAATTCTTGTATTCCAAGGTTTTACGCAGTGAAGCCTTCGGCCTTGTGGCCAGATGACTTGTTGCCTGCGAGATTTTCTTGTGAATTTGTAGGAGCCTTCAAGAATGTATATCCGAAGTGTTTGAGCCTCCGGGGAGAATAGTATCCGGGGAGTTCCTTCCCCCCTACACATCTTTTTTTTTTTTTTTTTTTTTTTTTTTTTTTAGATGGTGTAGGAGAGGCGTCTAGAAACTTGGTTTCTAGGAAAGGCTTGGCCTATATGGGAGGCAACGGAACAAACCGTTGGCTCCCCCTTCGGGAATGACCTTCCGATATCCCGAAGGGTTTGAGGGTCGTTTCCTCGGCCCGAGACATCGTCTGTTGCCTGCTTCCCCTTGGGAGATAGCACGGAAAGCGCCTCGGTTTTGAAAGTCGTCCCCTCAGCCCGAGACATCGTCTGTTGCCTGCTTCCCCTTGGGGGATAGCGCGGGGAGCGTTTCGTTTGTGGAAGTCGAATCCTGGGCCCGGGACATGGTCCGTTGCCTGCCTCCCCTTGGGGGATGGCGCGGAAAGCGTTCCTGGGAAGGGTTTTATTTGTGTGTGGGACACAAATAGCCGGGGGCACTTGGTGCCAGCCGGAGCCGAGGGGTATTGTACCCCCCGGGTTTTTTTTTTTTTTTTTTTTTTTTTTTTTTTTTTTTTTTTAAGAGAGTATGTAAAAGTTTGAGAAAAACACTTGGTGTTTTCAAAGAGTGATGGGGGTGACCCATTCCCTTGGTACTTGGTACCTAAATGGTTGTTCTTCCTCATCAGAGGGAGAGGCCTTGGGCCTATCCAGCTGGAGAGATGAGGGCTTGGCCTCTCATGTGTAAGATAGAAGGGGGGCCTTGGGCCGCTTGTATAATATGTAGGTGATGAAGGCTTGGCCTTTTGATTATTCTTCAAAAACAGATGGGGTCTTGGGCCATTGATATTTACACTTGTTGAGGATGAGGGTTTGGCCGCTCATTGATAAAACTTCATTAGGTGGTGCACATTCCAATGTCTAGGAATCTCCGTCCCATTAGGACGTTTTAACTTGTATGTCCCCGGCTTGATGATGGCTGAGATGATGTAGGGGCCTTCAAACTTGGGCGCCATCTTTCCTCCTTCGGTGGGTAGACTGGCCTCCCTTCGTCGAAGGACGTAGTCTCCCACCTGGAATTCCCGGGAGCGGACCTTGGCGTCGATGTATCCTTTGACTTGTCTCCTATAGTTTTCGGCCTTGAGGAAAGCTTGCTCTCGGCGTTCCGAGATGAGATGAAGGTCGAGGGCCATGTTGGCTTCGTTGACCTCGGGCTCATATTGTTCCACCCTTCGGGTGGGAAGGGTCACTTCTGTTGGAGCCTTTGCCTCAAAGCCATAGCATAGGGAGAAAGGGGTCTCACCTGTTGCACGCCGAGGGGTGGTGCGGTAGGCCCACAGGATGTTATGAAGCTCTTCTACCCAGCCTCCCCCTTCGGCTTCCAGCTTTTTCTTCAACCCTTCAAGTAGGGTTCGGTTGGCGTTCTCTACTTGCCCGTTGCCCTGAGGGTAGGCAACGGAAGAGAATGTGTGCTTGATGCCCCAAGCTTCCAGGAGGGCGCAGAAGGGGGCTGCCTCGAATTGAGTCCCGTTGTCGGAGATGATTTGTTGGGGGACGCCAAACCTTGTGAGAATGTTCTTGAGGACGAAGTGACGGCACCGGGCCTCCGTGATGCTGGCGAGGGGTTCGGCCTCTACCCACTTGGTGAAGTAGTCAATGGCCACAATGATGTACCTGTTGTTGGAGGTACCCCTCGGCAGAGGTCCCACTAAATCGACTCCCCATCTGGAGAAGGGTATAGCGGTGCTGATGGGGGCATAGTTGACTGCTGGTCTGCCGGGGGCCTTCTGAAAGTGTTGGCAAGCGGTGCACCTTCGGGCTAAATCGGCACAATCCCTAGCCATCGTGGGCCAGAAGTAGCCCTGAACTATGAGCCTTCGGGACATGGAGAAGGGTCCCTGGTGAGCTGAGCAAGTCCCACTGTGCACTTCCTCCATGGCGACTTCGGCCTCATCTTGATGAAGGCACCGAAGGAGGGTGCCGTTGTAAGATCTCTTGTAAAGCCTCCCGTTTTCGAGGGTGTAGCTGGGAGCCCTCAGTTTTGCTAACTTAGCGCGGGCTTCGTCTTGGGGCAGTTGTCCTGTGGTGATGAAGGCGATGATGTCGGAGATCCAATCCTCCGGCCTTAGGTTAATGCTCATGACGGGGCTCGCATGGATGCTCGAGAGGCTAAGTTCCTCAATTCTTGCAATTTTGGAGAGGTGCTCGGGGGATTCATCCGAGAGCTTGGATAGTATGTCGGCCTCGGAGTTTTGAGCCCTCGGTATTTGGGTGAGAGAATGTGCCTCAAACACCTCGAGCAACTCCTTAGCCGCTTCCTTGTATTGTTTCATCCTTCCTTCCTTAGCTTCGTACTCCCCGGAAATTTGACCCACAACAAGTTTGGAGTCACACTTGACGTGGATCATCTTAGCCTTCAGATTCGCCGCCAGCCGAAGGCCACAGAGGAGGGCTTCGTACTCGGCCTCGTTATTGGAGACTTTGAAGGAGAAGCGGACGGCATAATAGGCGCGGAAGCCTTCGGGTGTGATCAGGACTACTCCCCCTCCGCATGCTTTGGCGGCCGAGGAGCCATCGGTATAGAGTGTCCACCATTCATCGAGGGGTGCCGAGGGCTCCTCGTCAGTTGCTGACCTTGCGGTGCACTCCGTCACGAAGTCTGCCAGGGCTTGGCCCTTAATGGCAGGCCGCGGACGGATGTCTATGTTGTATTGGCTGAGGAAGATGGCCCATTTCACCATCCGAGAGGAGCTAGTGGGACTCCTCATGAGGGCGCCGAGGGGTTGATGAGTGAGCACCTGGACTGGATGAGCTTGAAAGTAGTGGCCAAGCTTCTTGACGGTCCAAACGATGGCTAGCACCGTCTTCTCGACGGGAGAATACCTGAGTTCGGCTTCCCGGAGGGTTTTGCTGACGTAGAAGATGGCATGTTGGATGCCGTCTTCCTCTCGGATCAGCACTGAGCTGATAGCCGCGGGGCTAACACCGAGATATAAGTACAAAGTTTCCCCCACCTTAGGTTTGGAGAGTACTGGGGGAGAAGAGAGGTACTTCTTGAGTTCATCGAAGGCCTCTTGACATTCAGATGTCCATTGAAAACCCGCCGTTTTCCTCATGATTTGGAAGAATGGGAGAGCCCTCTCGGCTGACTTTGAGAGGAAACGGTTGAGGGCTGCCAGGCGACCCGTCAACCGTTGGACTTCTTTGACGTTGCGTGGGGGCTCCATGTTGATGATGGCCTGAATTTTCTCGGGGTTGGCTTCAATACCCCTTCGGCTGACCATGTAGCCTAAGAACTTTCCTCCCTGTACGCCGAAGGTGCATTTCTTTGGATTTAGCCGGAGGTTAAATTTTTGCATGATGGCAAAAATCTCCCGGAGGTCGTCGGCGTGGGTGCTTGCCTTCTTGCTTTTGACGATCATATCGTCAACGTAAGCCTCCATGGTGCGTCCTAGGACAGCTTGAAAGACCCTAGCCACCATGCGTGTGTAGGTGGCGCCTGAATTTTTGAGGCCGAAGGCCATCACAAGATAGCAGAAGATGCCTTCGGGTGTCATGAAGGCAGTTTTTTCAGCGTCTTCCTCATGCATGTAGATTTGGTGATATCCGCGGAATGCGTCGAGGAATGACATGATCTCGCATCCCGCGGTCTCATCCACTAGTTGATCAATGTTTGGCAGAGGGAAGGGGTCCATGGGGCATGCCTTGTTCAGATCCGTGTAATCCACGCACATGCGGAAAGTAGGAGGCTTCTGTGCGAGGACTACGTTTGCCAACCAAGAAGGGTATTTCACCTCCTTGATGTGTTTGATAGAGAGGAGCATGGCCACCTCCTTTTTCACAAATTCCCTCCTCTCGGCCGAGAGGGGTCTTCTTCGCTGCTGTACTGGTTTGGCCGAAGGGTCCACCGCTAGGCGGTGGGTGATAACCCTTCGGTCAATTCCTGGCATATCCTCCGGCCCCCATGCAAAAACAACGGAGTAGGCGCGGAGGGCTTTGGTGATGCCGGTCTTCAAGTCTTCGGGGAGCTTGGCTCCAATCTTCAGGACTCTCTCCGGTTTGGCCGGATCGAGTATCAGGTCTTCGGTCTCCTCGGCAGGCTCAGCCCTCGGCCTTCCTTCTTCCTCTTCCAAGGCCTTGGTGGTGATGGTGTCAACACGAAACTCAGTTTTACTAACCTTCTTGGTAAGCTGAAGGTAGCAGGCCCTGGAGAGCTTCTGATTCCCCCTCGAGTAACCGATGCCGGTATGCGTGGGGAATTTGAGGCAGAGGTGCCTCATGGAGATGACAGCCTCCAAGTCCTCGAGGGCAGGCCGACCGAGGATGATGTTGTGCGCGCAGTCGAGATTGACGACGACGAATTCCACTTCGAGCTTGGCTCTATGGGATCCGTCGCCGAATTCAACCATGAGAGTGGTGACGCCCTCGGCGTCGATGCTGTCCCCCGTAAATCCGGAGAGGGGGGTGTTGATGTGTCTGAGGGATCCCCTGTCGAGTCCCAACTCTTGAAAAGTACTAAGGTACATGACGTTGACAGAACTCCCTGTGTCAACATAAGTTCGGTGGATGATGGCGTCATTGATTTCAGTGCGGATGACGAGGGCATCCCTATGCGGCAGGGAACCCGCGGGGAGGTCTGCATCTGTGAAGAAAATGGGATCCGCCCTTGGCCTCTTAGTTGGGGGCATGTGATTGACTTCCCCAACGTAAAGGGATTGAGCCCACTTCTTTCGCTGGCTGGTGGAGTCTCCACCAGTGTTGCCGCCGTTGATCATGTGAATGTGGCGCTTGTATTGCTGATGGGAGCCTTCCCCCTCATCTTCGAGGCCACCGATTTCACGTTTCTTCCCCAAGGGGATGGTGTTGGGGTTCACCCATTTGTTTGCCTTCGGCGGAGGCCCTTGATGATGAGGGGGGCCCTGGGGAGGAGGGCCCCTGATGAACTGAGATAAATGGCCCGCCTGTATCAGCCTCTCAATTGCGTTTTTCAGTTGGTGGCAGTCGTCGGTTTTGTGCCCATGGTGGCGGTGAAAGCGGCAATATGGCTCATCAGGGCCGATGGCATAGATCTCGAGGGGTGTACGGGAGTCTCGCTCAACGAGCCCTCGCTCTTCTGCGTGATCAAGGATGACGCTGACGGGATGCGTCAAGGGAGTACGTGGGTGCTCAAGGAGGACGGGTTGCGCCCATGCCTTCGGGTTGTTTTTGTAACCGCCCCCGGGTCTGGCTTGGCCACCCCGGGAGCGATCGTTGTACTGCGCCTCTCGGTTGACCGGAGGGGGAGGTCCTCCGGGCCGATTCCTGCCTTCATTCTTCTGGGAAGGATCCGTGTTGCGGCGGTCCTTCTCGATTTCCTCTGCTTCGGCATATCGGTCCCCCCGCTGAAGGGCCTTCGTATAATCGCGGGGGGGATCAGTGATAAGGCTCCGAGAGAAGTTACCGTTGCGGAGGACGGTGTGGAAGAGGGCCATCAGCGTCCTGTCATCAGCGCCTTCGACTTCGAGGGAGGCCTGCCTCCAGCGTTCCAGGAAATTCCGAAGGGTTTCCTCCTTCTGTTGTCTCACATTCAGAAGATGGGAGAAGTGTTTCTTCGAGCGGTGCCTCCCGGCAAACTGCGTAAGGAAGCGGTGGGCAAGTTCTTGCCAAGAATCAATGCTGCCTTCGGGCAACCGGTTGAACCACTCATATGCTGGTCCCTCTAGTGTGGAAAGGAACCAACGGCATAAGTATTCATCCGAGGCCCCCATCATCATCATGCTATTTTGATAGCGGCTGTAGTGTTCTTGGGGATCCGTCTTCCCCTCATACGGTTTGATAGGTTGCCCCCGGTATTTATGGGGGATTTTGGCCGCCAACACCCTTGGAGTGAAGGGTGTTCTAGTGCGGAGTTGAATGAGGGGCTCGCCTGAGCCCTCGGCAAGCTTACGTTTCATTTCCTCCACCTGTGCCCGGAGGTCAGCGTACTCTGGATCTGGCCTTGCTGTGGAAGCCGTCGGGGGAGCCTGACGATTCTCCTCAAGTTGGCGGAAGAGGGCTTCGATGATTTCGTCCTTAGGATCCTTCGGGGCCATCCCTTGGGAGTTGGCCCGGAAGGATTGCGCCTGATTGATTTGGTGCCTGGCGTCATCGGCATGGAGGAGGGCTTTGCCCTTGCTCCGGGGCGGAGGTATGCCCTCGGCTCCCGAAGCGGAGGCTCCACTCTCCTGAGGCCTGCTGAACTCTTGTTTGCCGAGGCGGTCTTGGACCCCTCGGCGTATGGGAGCTCCCCCAAGCCTCTCAAGTGCAGAGGTCCGGGGTTTCTCCTTCATCAAGGGACGTTTATCCCTGGATTGGGCCTCCTGGGAGGCGGTGTCCTGCGCCACGACCCCTTCGGCGTTTCCAACCCCCGGGGGAGGATTGTTGAACAGGGGGGGGAGCGGTGGTAATTGAATAACATTTCCTCCAGCGTAGGGCTGGAGGGGTGCCTGAGAGGCGAGGGCTCCGGAATTGAGAGCCATGTTTTGAACAAAGGCCGCAAAGGCAGCCTGAAGATCGATGGCCGAGGCCGGAGGAGGAACTTGGTTCTCACTCCGATCCCTCCTTCGATTATCAAGGCCAATGCGGGCATCAGGGGTATTCTTCTGCAGCTGCTGGCGTAGGTCAGCGGTGGCTTGCTCTAATTCGAGGATGACACCACCCTCGGGTACTAAGAGCCTATTGGAGGCCTCAGCCCCGTTAGTTTCGCCGGGGGCTACGTAGTTTTCCTCAAGGGTTTTGGATTGGGCTCGTGTGGTCCTTCCCATCTTTGGTGAGTGTTTTGTGTTTGGTAGAGGGGGAGGGTTTCTTACTTGATAGTTCAGACCTCTCAACGAGAGCACCAAATGATGGATAGTCTACCCGGGGGGTATCTTATCCGAGGGGTTATTGCGGGAATAACTAGAGAGAAGTCAGAGCAAAATAGGAGGAGAGAGAGTCGATTTATTAAATGAACTCAGCGTGTGGAGTTGAGATGTAGGTTGTGTCGATTACAAGGAGAAATGGGCTGCTATTTATAGCAGCAATAAATGCGATGAGAGGACACATGTCAGTAATCCTGCGGCCGAAGGGTCACATCAGCCGGTTGGCACCGGCAGTGGTACGTCCACCGCATTGAATGCGGTTGGCGGATGTGACGTGGTATTAAATGCGGTGGTTGGCTGTCTCTAAAAGGAATCTTCGATGATTGAGCTAGTTCAGCCGAAGGCTCCCGGTGCAGCCGAAGGCTCCCGGTGTAGCCGAAGGCTCCTGATGTAGCCGAGGGCTCCTTGTGTAGCCGAGGGCTCCATGTGGTGAGGACCCTTGCACGGCCGAAGGCCCCGTGTGACCGAAGGCGTAGCAATGCCGAGGGCGTAGCGATGCCGAAGGCTCATTCTTCGCCCGTTTTCTCCCAGTAGCTTCCTATGCCGAAAAGGCCATTCTGTGAGTTCTGGAGCCTTCGGCCAAGGAGGCCGAAGGCACCCCAGTGTGTATTCTGGGCCACTTTGAGGCTGGGGCCGTCGTACTTGGGCCTGAGTTGTTTCCTGAGCTCAATGGACTAGTGTAGGAGAAACAGGAGTCTATGGGCCGGGGGTTCGTGGGCCATATACTCCATCAGCAGTCATTCAAGAATGAGTATAAAATACGATCAGTAGAAGATTACGAGCCCGTTTGGTAGCACCAAAATCGGCTGTTTTGGCTGATTCTGCTGAAATTTATGATATTCTGGCTGGAGTGGCTGTTTTGGCTGATTCTGCTGATTTAAGAAAAAAATATTTTAAAAATATATTTTATTAACAAATTAAAGAAAAAATTATATGTAAAAATAGCTAAAATGGTCCTCTACAGTAACTTCAGCCAATACAGCCAGAAAAGTAACTCCAACCTTACTTTTTCGGCTTATTACACAATTCAGCGCGCGAAAGTAAAAGTTACGTGTTTGGTGAAAAAGCTGACTGATAAGCCTGATAAGCCGAAAACAGAGTTCTCCAAACGGCTCTATATGTACTTATTATAGCCCATGACTTAAGAATTCGTAGTTTTAACCGGAAGTTAGGAGAAATGTTAGAAGAGATAATTTGAGTTTACACCCCATTTTATTGTCTAAATTGGACTTTGCACCTTGTTTTTAAATTACTTTTATAATTGCACCACAACCTCGTATGAAAAGACAAAAATGTCCCTCCATTAACAATTTTGTTTGCCTTCAACATACTCTTGATCGAGGAGCATTTTGTCTTCTCATACGAGGTTGGGGTGCAAATACAAAGAATTTTTTATGATTTTTTATTATTTTTTATGTTTTTATTCTGAATTATAACATTTCAATAAGTACAAAGATATATTTGCCCAAACACACATAATTAGTCCTACAAATGAATTAAAAAATAGTGTAGTCATATTTGTAACTCTTGCTTACCTTTTACTCATATTTAAATAATTACTTTCCAAAAATGTTTTTTCTACCTACCCTAACACCCACTTTTATACTCACCATGCTTGTGCAAAGTTTTTTTTTTTGTATATGAATCTCTTTCATAGACAAAATACGTTCGTGCAAATTTTACACAGATAAAATAAGACATGTTTTATCTCTGAACCGACATGATGTGTATAAGAAGAATATAAAAACACAGTACAAGATTTTTTTTCAAAAAAACTGTTTGTACCTACTCTTATACACACTTTTGTACCCACCATGTTTGTGAGGAGTTTTTATTGTCTGTGAATCCCGATCACGCACAAAATATGTTTATTTGTGTCTATGAATCGGATTCACAGACAACTCCTCCCATATATGGTAAATATAAAAGTGTGTAAAAGTAGTTAGCAGTTTTTTTTTTAAGTTTTAAGAGTGGGAGAGAATATATTTAGCCAACGCACACGAGGCCACGATAATGGCCTCCCTTCCCTGCCACACAAATCATCTTTTATTTCTCTTTCCCTTTTGCTGCGCAGCTAATGTTGACCGGAGTTTCCCGCTTCCAAGTTGGACCACCATCTATAGCTTGGCGTCGCGGCTGGGACCCACAGGCCACAGCGGAAGAAGCACACGATTCCTCAATGATTAATTCAGGATAAATGACGACTTTCTGGAAGAGAGCACTGACCAGCAGACATGAAGGTTCACTCTGAGCAGGCCTGGAAATTGCTCTATCACAATCCGCCATGTCTGGGTTTCTGCTTTCTCACCAGTTTTCTTGGAGTTTCGTAGAAGGCGATCCTCTCGTCATCAACCCGGTCTTTCTTCGGGCCGTCTCTGCTTCACTCCACGTCGTTTTGTCGCTCTATCTTCTTATACATTGTTGGTCAGTGAAGAAGGCGAAAAACAATGGTGTTGAACATATAGAGGAAGACCAGACAGATGACCACGACATGGGCGGCCGTGTTCCTAAACCAAATTTCCGGCACCTGAAAACAGCACTTCTATCTTGTTTGAGTCTCTCGCTTCTGAACTTTGTTCTCTGTTTTCTATCTCAGTTTTATTGGTATAGAAATGGTTGGTCTGATGAAAAGACTCTAACCCTTTTGGATTTCTCAATAAAAACCATTACTTGGTTGGCAATCTTCTCTGTATTGCTCACTCAATTGAGTTCAGGTGAAATGATTAAATACCCATTTGTTTTAAGAGTCTGGTGGGGCTTTTTCTTCGCCCTGTCATGCTATTGCCTAGCCGTAGACGTTGTTTATTACAAAAAGAACGGTAACTTACCAACCCAATATTGGATTTCTGACGTAGTTTCTTCTGTGCTGGGCTTATTACTCTGTTTGGTGTGCATTTTGGGTGGAAAGGAGGGTGGGTATGAGCTTCTTAGGCAACCCCTATTGAATGTTGGGGGCAGAAATGTTTCACAAGTAAACGAACTAAGTTCTGGGGATGAAACTGTGACTCCCTTTGCCAAAGCCAACTTTTATAGTAAACTGACATTCTCTTGGATGGGTCCTCTAATTTCTGTTGGCAGAAAGAAAACATTGGACCTTGAGGATGTTCCTCAGCTTTCTGGTTTGGATAGTGTTATAGGGGCTTATCCAATCTTCCAAGATAATGTAGTAGAAACCGCTAGTGAAGGGCGTGACAGTAACAAATTAACTACATCCATGCTTGTGAAAGCTTTAGTTCTCACAGCATGGAAGGACATTCTATTATCTGCCTGCTATGCGGCTTGTAATACACTTGCTTCATATGTTGGACCTTACCTCATCGATACCTTTGTTAAATTCCTGAATGGAAATCTAGAATCTAGGGGACAAAATGAAGGTTACCTATTGGTTTCTGTGTTCTTTGTAGCAAAGATTGTTGAGTGCTTGTCGATGAGGCATTGGGGTTTCAAGGTGCAGCAAGCTGGGTACAGGGGTCATGCTACACTGGTTGCCAAAATCCACGATAAGAGCTTGACACTTTCATGTCATTCAAAGCAGACTTACACGAGTGGAGAGATAATCAATTTTATGACTGTAGATGCTGAAAGGATTGGTGACTTTGGTTGGTACATGCATGACCCTTGGATAGTACTGCTACAGGTCGGCCTTGCACTTGCCGTCCTCTACAAGAATCTGGGACTTGCTTCGGTCGCGGCTTTAGTTTCTACAGTTATAGTAATGTTGGCAAACATCCCTCTAGGGAAATTGGAAGAGAATTTCCAGGAAAAACTTATGAAATCAAAAGATACTAGGATGAAGGCAATGTCTGAAGTCTTAAGGAACATGAGAATCCTCAAACTTCAAGCATGGGAGATGAAATTTTTTTCCAAAATCATTCTACTAAGAAATAATGAGGCAGGATGGCTTAAAAAATTTGTTTACACGTCATCTATGTCTTCTTGTGTGTTTTGGATGGCTCCAACATTTGTGTCTCTGGCTACCTTTGTCACTGCAATGCTTATGGGGATTCCACTTGAATCAGGGAAGGTACTCTCTGCACTTGCCACATTTAGGATACTCCAGCTGGCAATCTACAACCTTCCCGATACAGTTTCATATATGGTTCAGACTAAAGTTTCCCTTGATCGAATAGCATTGTTTCTTTCCCTTGATGAACTCAAACCAAATTCCAAAGAGAAGCTTCGAAGGGGCAGTTCTGATGTATCAATTGAGATTGTTGAAGGAAATTTCAGTTGGATTGAACACCCTACTCCAACACAACTTCTTAAGGACATTAACCTTAGGGTTCATAATGGCATGAGAGTTGCCATTTGTGGTACCGTCGGGTCGGGAAAGTCAAGTTTGCTAACTTGCATTTTGGGTGAAATGCCCAGAATATCAGGAAGTGTTATGATCTGCGGGACAAAGGCATATATTTCACAGTCACCATGGATACAGAGTGGGAAAATTGAAGAAAATATATTGTTTGGTAAGAAGATGGACAGAGAGAAATATGAAACAGTTATTGAAGCATGTTGCTTAAAGAAAGATTTGGAAGTCTTTTCGTTTGGTGATCAAACAATCATAGGTGAGAGGGGTATCAACTTGAGTGGTGGGCAGAAGCAAAGAGTGCAGATTGCACGTGCTTTGTACCAAGATGCTGACATTTATCTTTTTGATGATCCATTCAGTGCAGTAGATGCTCATACTGGAACACATCTGTTTAATGCAAGTACCCACCTAGTGCTAATTCACGATATTGTGTGAACCTGAAATGAGCATATAACTAATCCCTTGTGGAACTTCCTTTCATATATGCATGCTTGATAGGAGTGCATTTTGGGGCTGCTGAAGTCGAAGACAGTAGTATATGTTACGCATCAAATAGAGTACTTGCCCGCTGCAGATCTGATCTTGGTAAGCTTCTTGTGTGTCATTTCATTTCAGTCTACTTCCTTTTATTTCCTTTTACTTTATTATGTAATGTTATATTTTGTTAAATTTATATGATTATTTTTTATACTTCATATCTGCTATCCATGATTTCGGTATCAACTAATTGAGTGGACTATACTTAACTAATCAGGTTATGAAAGATGGAAGGGTTTCACAGTCCGGAAAATACAACGATATTCTCAATTTGGGCAGTGACTTTATGGAACTAGTGGGTGCTCACAAAGAAGCTTTATCTGTAATAGATGACTTTGGGGGAAGAGAGGGAGTCACTAGTAAAGTAAACAGTAGCTTGACTAGTAATAAGAGTACTATGTTTCAAAATGAAGAAGAAGGTGACAGTGGGCAAAGTGGTAAGCCCAACAATGCTTTGGAACCAAAAGTCCAACTTGTCCAAGAGGAAGAAAGAGAGAAAGGTAGTGTTAGTTTGTCAGTTTATTGGAAATATATCAGAACTGCATACGGAGGTGCCCTTGTGCCCTTCATATTGGCGGCACATATACTCTTTCAGGCGCTTCAAATTGGAAGCAATTATTGGATTACGTGGGCAACATCTGTGTCAGAATTAGAGAAACCTCCGGTTGGAAGTCGTACACTCATCATTGTGTATGTTTGTTTAGCAATTGGAAGTTCTTTTTGCATCCTCGGGAGATCCGTGTTGCTTGCGACCGCTGGGTACAAGACGGCAACACAACTATTTATTAAAATGCATCAGTGCATATTCCGTGCACCAATGTCTTTCTTCGATGCAACACCCTGTGGGCGTATTCTTAATAGAGTAAGTAAAAACGCCAAAATGCTCTCTTGTTTCATCTTGAACTTACATTCAGCTTTATGATTTTTTCCCACTTTTTATGATTATGATAGGCTTCTACAGACCAAAGTGCAGTTGATCTGGACATCCCATTTCAAGTTGGAACATTTGCTTTCACCATGATTCAACTAGCCAGTATCATTGCAGTAATGTCTCAAGTTGCATGGCAGGTTTTTGTTGTTTTTATTCCGGTGATTGCAATGTGCATCTATTTAGAGGTAGCCCTTTCTATCAAGTTATATTATAAAATAAAATCCATAGTCTTATGCACATAAATCAATTCGTTTACGCACCCACCCCCATTTTTTTTCTAATTGCAGCAATATTACATACCTTCAGCACGGGAGTTGGCACGGTTTGTTGGAGTTTGTAAGGCACCAATAATACAGCACTTTGCTGAAACCATATCAGGATCAACTACAATTAGAAGTTTTGAGCAAGAAGCCAGATTTCGTGATTTGAATATGAAACTGATAGATGCATATAATCGGCCAAAGTTTCACACTGCTGGTGCTATGGAGTGGCTTTGCTTTCGGTTGGATATGCTGTCATTGGTCACTTTTGCCTTTTCTTTGGTCTTCTTGATCTCTGTTCCAGTTGGAACTATCAATGCTAGTGAGAAATATGAGTTATTCTGCCTTGTTAACTTCATTTTTGTTTCGAAATTAAGAGTTGTTCTTGAAACAAATTGCAGGTGTTGCTGGTTTAGCTGTGACATATGGGCTTAATCTCAACATGTTGCAAACTTCGGTTATTTGGAACCTTTGCAGGATGCAGAATAAGATTATTTCAGTGGAAAGAATCCTTCAATACAACACAATCCCTATTGAGCCTCCTCTTATCGTGGAATCCAACAGACCAGACCCTGATTGGCCCTCAACTGGAGAGGTTGATATCAGAAATCTTCAGGTGCATAAAGATTTTCATCTTTATGAATCAGTCTGTGTAATTTATAAACTTTTTTGAGTTGCTTTCTTTACATATTTATGTTCTTTCAATTAGGTTCGGTATGCTCCACACATGCCTCTTGTGTTACGAGGCATCACATGCACTTTGTTTGGAGGAAAGAAGACTGGTGTAGTTGGGAGGACAGGGAGTGGTAAATCAACTCTTATACAGACTATCTTCCGTATTGTTGAACCAGCTTATGGAGAAATAGCTATAGATGGTGTTAATTTATCCACGATTGGATTGCACGATTTGCGATCTAGGTTGAGCATTATTCCACAGGATCCAACCATGTTTGAGGGCACTGTTCGTAGCAACCTTGATCCACTTGAAGAGTACTCTGATGAACAAATTTGGGAGGTGCATCATAGTTTTTAGATTTCTCCATTCTTTTTTTCGTGGAAAGAAAGAAGCATTTTGAATTTCTTTGATTCTTTTGTTAATTCTTATTAGGCTCTTGACAAGTGTCAACTTGGAGATGAAGTAAGAAAAAAAGATGGAAAACTCGATTCTGCAGGTGGTTTTAAAATTCAATTGGCTATCCCTTTTCATTTTCTCAAGATATATCTTCTATCCATAGGTATGAGTCCATGTTATTTATATAATGAATGCGCGGTCAAACATTTCAGTTACTGAGAATGGTGAGAATTGGAGCATGGGTCAAAGGCAGCTCGTTTGTCTTGGCCGTGTGCTACTGAAGAAAAGCAGCAAGATTTTGGTACTTGATGAGGCCACTGCATCAGTCGACACTTCAACAGATAATCTGATACAACGAACTCTCAATGAACACTTCTCGCACTCCACTGTCATAACTATTGCACATAGGATAACATCTGTGCTGGACAGCAACATGGTCCTGCTATTAGATCATGGTTGGTGGCACTTTGTTTTGTTGATTCTGCGTTGCAGTTCTTGTTGTCTTATTAAATCTCTTAATAATATCTGGGTCGCTTCTCTTTTCTCCGTGTTGCAGGTGTAATTGGGGAGTATGACACTCCAGAAAATTTGCTTGAAAACAGATCATCATTGTTTGCCAAGCTTGTTGCAGAATATAGCACCCGATCAAGTTGCAGTTTTGAGAAATTATCCTAGGATTTCATGCGTGTTGGGGGTTTGTTATGTGTTGGTGTTACTGGAGAATGAAGAACTTAGTTTGTTACAGCAAAGATGAATCAGTTTCCAACTATTGAGTACATGTCAGTGCTGAATAAAGTTACTTTGCCTTGTTCTTCAGTGTGTGTATAGACGTATAGCACTCCCCCAGTTCATTTGTCTGCATTCATTTTAGATCTTTCCGATAAAAGTTGTAATTTGCAAGTGGCATCCACTTGCTTTACAGCCTTTGAGGTCCAAGAAAGAGTTGACAGTGTAATGTATAATAATATTTAAGCTTTTGAATGCAATACAATTTTAAAGCTCCTAACCTTTGTCTTCAACTTCAAATTGTAAACAAATCCCATATGTTATGTATAAGTCCAGCATTTATTCATGGCATTGCATGCCGCTCGATGGTCACATACAAAATCCACTTCAGAAATGCAAAGGCCTCATCGTCCTTAGTTCTTTCATTATCAGAACTCATAGGCTCATAGCATAACTCGCGATAATGTTCTTTGTTGGATTTTGGCATAAGTTATTAGGGTTTATGAGGTGGGGAATACAAAGTCAAATGGCTGGAAAAGTAATCAGGTAATGTAAAATTGGATGAAAACACAAAAACCAGGAGCTTACTGGGGTGTATGTTTGGCCCTGTTGTGCTCACTAATAGAAGTTCAGGAGCTCAAATGCTTAGTAGGACCAACATGCAAAGTCCAGGGGTTGAAATAACCATTTTTTCCTTAAGGAGATTTGACAATGTCTTGAATCACCTCCATCAATAATTTATTTAGTAAACTTAATTGCATGTTACGGCTTACTTCGCTCTCCATTTCTCCATTGTCATCATTTCCTCCCATAATCTTAGTATATTAGGCTGGGTAAGCCAATGGGTCAGATCTGGCCCTGGATATGTTCATATGTCTCAGCATGTTTTTAGCTGCAGATAAAGGGTGCTTTTTTGTTCTTGAAACTGACCATAAATAGTTAAATACATTGGGGTTTCAGTTGCTTTGGAAGGAGAGGAGACACAGAGCCAGAAGTGAAATGTGCTTTTGGGTTTCAATACAATCATATAGGTGAATACTGAATAGAGATTTTGAACTGTTGTATGCTTTTTGACTTTCTTCATCTTTTTGTGTATCCTATTTGCAGATCGTGCGCACACAGATTGACGTTTCTTTGTATGATGCTATGATTGCTGATTATTATTCCTTTATAAAAACAGTCAGTGGAGAAGTTTTATATTCTTCGCAAAATTCATTTTCTTAGTTGCAGATTCTTTATAACTTTTCTTTTGTTAATGAAAAACACCATCACTTCATAATTCATGTATGTTTCAAACTTAGGGTGGCCACTGGTCTGGTCCCAGGATTGGTCTAGACTGGAACCGGCTGATTTTTTAACTGGAATTGGCTCAACAATTCCTTGTTGTAACTGTAATCGGTGGCGGGTTCAGGGTGCTAGTCCTGGGTGGCCCAAAATACGGACAAGAACTGGCCGGTCCGATTCCCATTTTTTATCATGTCCATTGGTAAGTAAAACCCATGATGGGACCTAAACAGGAATAAGGCCGGAACCTGAATTTTAGGAATGGCCCGTCTGAGGACCGCAACCAGCCTAGAACCTGACAAACTCGACAAAGTTTTTCCGGCCTAAATCTGTTGGGGGCCTAGGTTTCAGGAGAATACGCCAAGTTAATATTGCCATGCTTGGCAAACAAGCTTGGTGTTTAGTAACGGAACAGAATACCTTGGTTGGGAGGATTTTTAAAGCAAGATACTATCCGGGGGCACTTTTTTTACAGTTAGCTTGGGGAGTAATCCATCATTCATATGGAGGAGTTTATTTGAAACTCAACCAATCTTGAAGGATGGGCATATACGGGTAGGAGATGGAAAAACCATTAATATATGAGAAGCTCAGAAGATGCATGGTTACCGAATGAGGTAAATCCTTGTGTTATGACACATTGTCTTTCGGGGATAGAGAAAGCTACAAGCTACGGTGAGTGGGCTTGGTTAGGGGGGCTAGGCGAGGCTGGCATGAGGATGTGGTTGCTGTATTCTGAATCAGAGGGATGCATTGTTAGCTCTGAGTATTCCGTTATGTAATCGGACTGTCCCAGATCGTATTTATTGGAGATGGCAGCAGGGAGGGGGTTTATTCGGTGAAGAGCTGCTATAGGAAATTACTAGGAGAAGCGAGTGCAGCAGGCTGGACGGGATGGACTCAAGTTGAGTTTTAGTTTACCTCCCAAGGTAAAAACATTTTCTGGCAGGTCTGTACAGATTTACCTACAACGGAAGCGCTAAGGCATAGGGGAGTGGGCTGTCCATGACATGCAGTTTAAGCGGAGGCGAATAGGAGTCTTTATTGCATTTGTTTGTAAGGTGTTCGGTGGCTGCAGCAAGATGGAGTTCAGTTAAATGGAGGTTGCAGGGGCGGGAGGCTGAATCGTTTATTCACTGACTGCAGCAGGAGTTCATAGCTAAAACTAGAGAGGAGCTATGTTTGTTAATCCTTGGTTGCTGGAGCTTATGGAAGGAGCGAAAGAAGAGGATATGGCAGCATGAACAGGTAGCTATCGATCAAGTTTTTGTTAAGGGGCGGGCTTTTTATGATGGATGGAAGCTGGTGGAAATGTAGAATGGCGAGTGGGGTACCAGGTTTACAGATTGCAAGACGAAGTTATGTGGCAGCGGCCGAAACCAGGTAGGTTGAAGTTAAATACTGATGCGACAATTGGGGGAGAAAGAAGAGGTCTCGGGTGGGTGGTGCAGGACAGCAGCGGTGCCTTCATTTAATTAGAGCACTCTTATCAGACAACAATTGTTGTTCATGCAAGCTGGGGATTGTTTGGCTCCAAAAATACCTCACCTGGAGAAAGAGCATGCAGCTTTGCTTATACAAGGGTAACCTAATTTGTTGAGCATTTCGTCTTAACCAACCACGCACCACAAAAACACCTTCATTTGAAGTACAAACTGTCAGGACTGTCATCTTGATAGGTTAGTGTCGAGTAATAAGAATTGTCAATTCGTCTGAAAATGCAAACGTCACTTTGTTAGGATGTTTATCAAAGAGTTCTGGCATAGCTGGGAAGTTGCAAGTCAAAAATATAGAATCATTGCCATAGAGTGAGTGCAGTTAGGCATGGGTCCGGTCCCGCGAACCGGAACCGGGTCTGGCTCTGTTTGGGTTTGGACCGGGTCTGTTTTTTTCTGATTTTTGGGCCTAGGACCAGCCTTGTCCGCTTAGGAGGGGTACCAGTCCCAGTTTATAGATTTGGGGACCGGACCAAACAGTCTCGATTTCAGTCCCGCCGGGCAAATTTTTTTAAGCCTAAAGTCGGGCAAATTTTAAAAAATAAATAGTGGATCCAGATCTGGAACCGGGACCGAACTGACCGAGAACCTGGAAAAAGAAATAACCGGGTCAGTCCCGGGCTTCAACAAAAAATGGCAAGGAACAGGTGGTCTCGGCCCAGAACCGGGACTGGACCGACCCGGGTCAATGCCTAAGTGCAATTATGATGACTTCTTTTCAAGGATGAGCTTTTAAAGAAAAGTGGTTTTACACTTTTACTCCATAAAAAAGTGTTTGGTAATAACATTGAAAGAAAGACTTATGACACATTGCACTAAGCCACTAAATGAGAAAGCACTCGTGATAAAAGCATGGATAACATGAGTTATCACAAACAGACTTTATGCTCCCTCCATGATATGAAAAAAGGATGATCTTTTTGTAAAGTTATATTTGTCTCAAAACAAATACTTGTAGTAAGTTACAACAATTGTACTTTTATAAACCAGCATATAAATGTAAACACATACGGATAAAAATTGATTGTTACAACAAGTGTACCTTTATAGATTAAAAATATGTAAATGGATCTCTATTAAAACCACTCTTTTTAACTCTCCGCAATCTGCATTAACATATATTCCTTACAACCATACACGGACAACTTTTTGTTGTAAGCCTGTATTTATGATCGTATTGTTTACCTGTGATATTAGAATTAATCCATCTCCTTCCCATGGATTAGGTTAAACTATAAAATGGTCCTTCAGGTTTGTATATATTACATATAACCCCTAATGGATTAAGTATTTTGCAAACGACACCAAAATGATGAAGATGACACTAAAATGTTAGTAAGAATGGAGTGTTTCTATGCTGAATTACCTTCAATGAATTTCCCAAATGTTACGTTTCAGAGGAAGTGTAATGCATAGTGTATTTTACCTGATAGAGGGTGATAAAAAACAGTTATTCTACTGGGGATAAACAGTTCTTGTAAATATCATTATAACGTACCTCTTTCAGCTTTAAATTCACGAGTTAACTGTAATTTTCAACACTTCAAGGTTAATTTTGTTAATCTTGAAGGAGGTAGATGTAAGCATGGAATCAACGATTCAACGCTCAAAATCTCAATATCATTATTTCTCTTTTGAATCTCCAATTCTCCATTGAAAAGGGAAAACAACTGGAATCCGCGATGTTGTGGAAAATACTACAGCTCACCTTCTTGACGACAAGGAATGTTAAAGCTTTGGAAGTGTTAAGCAGGGTAAAGCTAAATCTTTCATTAATCACGGATAATTCTTCTGTTTCTGCAACTTACAGTATTGCTGACGAGGTTAACTGAACCAGAACATTAATCTTTCAACTGCTGCCAATGGCATATGCAGTTATGCACTGTGCCGCTGTGCATTGCGTCCTCACCGACTTCCAAACCTCCACCCTCTTCTTCCTCAAGGGTCAGCTTCGAGTATAAGTCCTCAATTGACACACGAACTCACCACAACGCTCCAAGAACGAAGAATTGCTCAACAACCAAACTGGGAAACCCTAGTTAGAATACCTGTCGGCTGTCGTCACCAGGAGCCCTTAAATCGCTTAGGGGGCCCGAGCAGGACCGATTGTGTTTTTTCCCTAAAGCTGGACTAGATTTCCAGTTCCAGAGTCAGGACCAGTATCGGTTCCTCCAGAACAGAACCCAAGTATGTAGTTTGGTTCTGGTCCCTTTTTATTTTAAACAGGCAAGGGAGCTGAACCAAAGAAGTGGAACAGGCATACTGATTGGATTACCATTCCTCCTATTAGCGTTAGGTTAGAATCATCTGTCAATTCACTACCATTGCTTATGGCTACTGAAGCGATCAATGTCCACCACTAATGTCAGCAACCACCCGCATAGCCAGGGACCACTAGCGCTACCCACCGTCGATGACGTAGACCGCTACCATCAACCAATAAACCATATATTCTCCATTGACCTTCACTACCTCAACTGATGACCACCACCTTAGTGGATAACCACAAGTGATCTTGATACTACATGTGTTCAATTGGAAATATGTGGTGGTCAACATGTTTCCATATTAGAAATGAAGACAAAAACATATGGAAAACTAAAAAGGAAAACAGAAACACTGAAAGCAAAAGTAAACAGACTAACATTTTCTCAGGTCCCTACTTGCAAAGGTAGAGAATTTACAGAAAAATTTTAAGTTAACATAAGTTAACAGAAAACATATTTAACCCTTGTTTCCACTTAGATCTGCCTTACTGCGATTAGTTCTCACTTCAGGCGCTAAACGGCTAAACTTCAATCTATCATCTGTCAGGGGCTTACCTTTTTACCACATTTGTGTTATACCTTTCACCTGATTTAGTTCCAAATATTTTGCTCGGTTTACCTCATTATATAATGAAGGAGGAGCTAGAAGCAGATTTTGATGCATTAATGACTGCCTACTTGTAGAGGAGCAGATTTAACCTATGTATAGTGTCATAATGTTTATACCTTTGGCTGACATGGAATGTGAAAATTTCTTCATTATTAAATGCTTAAACACTGTCTAGGAAGTCTGTATTTATTGGCAAAAATTGACATATCAATCCTGTGTTTGGTTTTTTTTAATCAAATCATTTTTGGCCTAATCATGGGATTAGAGATGTAAAGGTCGGTTCCTATGGAATGCATACATAATGTATATTCTTCCTGAAATCATCTTAAAGTAAATACAAAGCTTCTGAGATCATTCTGACCAATTATACATAGAGAAACATGGAATGCACTCATGCCAAGAACCCAAGCCTTTCCCCGTTCTTTTTTGCTAGCCGAATCAATCCTTGTCTCTGCTTCTGATCCGCTCCTATTGATTTGCAGAACTCTGTAATGACCTGAAAAGTTTATCTATTTAGATTACACTTTTGTGAGTACAACTAACAAACTATACATTTTCCACTGTTTAATTTTATGGCAAGATTAAGGATTTGGGCAACTTTTCCTGTGAAAATCAATCTGAAGGTGCAAGGAAATTGGTTGGGAGGTCCAAAAGTGACAAAAAACACATATCAGGGACTAAAATGGAAACTTTTCTGAGGTTAAACCTGTGAATGTAAAGCAATGGCTTTGCCTCTAAGTTGGTTGAATCTTTTCTTGCCGACAATGTCCCTAGCAAGAACTACGATAGGAGCAAAAATCCCTTTCCCTTCATTAACATTCTTCATCATTGGCTGTGCCCTGACAGGCCTTGAGACCCGGACAGCTACAGGCATTTTCCGGGCAAGGGCGGCGTAACTCTCGCCGCCGACTGTGGAGGAGAATCCACCGTTGAAAGAAGCAGCTGCAGAGATGGTGGGAGTAGCAGCCATGGACTGAAAGGAAATGTTAATAAGCCTATAAAGCAAGCTCACTTTCTGGGTACTAATTCTTGAATTAATGGGGAAGTGGGGGAGTTTAATTGTGGTTTGGGGTTTGAATGGTGATTTGGGTAGGAAGGCAAATGTGATGAAGAAGATGGGAGATGAGAAGGCGTAATAAGAGCCTCACAAATCAAGATACCGAATCTTCCAAGCCTCCAGCTAGCGGGTGAAGGAGTAGGTGGGTTTGGGAAGGTAACTCCGGATAGATGGTAACCGTCCATTTAGTGAGCTGAAGAATAACATTTGGAGAAAGGAGAGCTATGTTGTAAAAACCAGTGAGGGACCCGGTCATGTGATTGGGTCACGGGTCAACCCGGACCCGGAGGGTCAACCCGGTCAAAGCCGGAAAACCGGTCAACGATTATACGTCTATATAATAATAATAAACATATAATTATATACACTCTCATTATATATTTGTATTTGTATTGTATATTTATATTATAGAAATAATTACATAAATATGACCAAAATAAAGATGATTTACAAAAATATGATTAGTTATTAGAGTAGTAATGAAATCATAGTAATTCATGTTAAAGTTTTGAACTTAAGTTACTACAACACCACGTTGTAGTAATGAATAGTCATATTTATGTTAATAAGTTTTATTTTAGTAATATTCTTATAAAAAACTCTATATTATAATTTGGCATGATTTTCATACTTAAATAAATATATAAATATATTACATAGTTTTTCTTTTTAGGGAATTGAAATTGCAATTTTATTGGTTTAAAAAATGCATTAAAATTAATAAAAGAAATTACTTTTTTTGGAAAAGACCGAAAACCGGGTTTTCCCGGATTTTTCGGGTTTCTTGGGTTGGGTCCGGATCGGATTTTTTTGGGTCAGCCGGGTTTTTCCGGTTTTTGACCATTTTTGGGTTTTGAAGAAACCGAACCGGATTTTTGTCCGGGTCACCGGGTTCCGGGTCAACCCAGCCGGGTCGGGTCGGTTTTTTAAACGTAGAAGGAGAGTAGAACAAAAAGGGGGGAAATGAGGGGTAAGAATGTAAGATCATGTGCACAGGGAAAAAGTTACGTAGAAATAGAGAAATAGGAAATTAAAAAAAAAAATTATGAATTAAGAATCAACAATGTTTTGTCACCAACTTAGGTAATAATGGATCAAATAAAAAGATCTTATCTGAGAAATAAGAATCGAACATGTTCATTCAATAAAAAGAATAGTTCAAGTTCATTGGATGTCAGATTTAACCACTCTAAAAGTGATAATCGTGCATCAGATTATTAGATCCAAAATATAGTGATAATGTCATAATTAAATGAATTTTAAAAATTTATCTTCACTTGAAAGTGCTACATACAAAAAGAATAAAGTGTAATACAGAGAATTAAAAGTGTACGTCATTTTTACATCACTTAATTACTACAAACACTCTCTTTATTGGAATCAAAATATATATGATACGCCCTCCGTCCCTGAATTATCTTCAAACTTTCCTTTTTCGTTTGTCCCAAAATTATCTCCCCTTTCCCTTTTTGGCAAAGAATTTGTGGTTCACAACCATTCTTACACATTCTTACACATTTCTCTCTCCTCTGCACAACTCTCCACCACACAAATCTCACTATCTTAATTAGTGTGCCCAGCCGAAATGGGAGATAAAACAGGGACGGAGGGAGTATTTACTTGGACTCATACCGCATACATAAAGCAACCAAATCACAAATAATATTGTGTACAAGTTCTTTGAAATTTTATTCATATATTGCTTAATGCAACGTTCTTTTTGCTTTCCTTTATTTTAATGTTGTCATAATTATATATACATCTACACCTCCATTTTCATAGCATGTTATGCAATACTTTTCAACAATCATATAAATACATTACTTCAATTGAATTTGAAATTTTTTATACTTTCATCAGGTAATTTTATATCCATGCAGCGCATGGTAATATAGATACTCCGTATGTGGATTTGTCTAAATAATGATACACGGGGCCGTAGATGAGGGCGTGCAAGAAGTGTTACCGCACAAGGCCTCTCGATTTCAGAAGATCCAAAATTTTAAATATAGTCTATACTTCGTATAATATAATAAATCTTTATTTATTTGATTAAAAATTCCTATCCTATTACTTCTTTAAATACAACCATTAAATAGTAATATTTATATGTAATTAAAATGCAATTGTTAATTACAATTATGTAATTTCTTTATTTCACAATGTTTTTTTTCATTCAAATTGCCTATGCTACACCTGAATTTCACAATGTCTAGTTATAGTAATTAGCACAAAGCCCTCGTACAGTTTGGAACGAGCTTGCAACTATTTTCTTTTTCATACTTTGTTACTACGTATTACTTTACTTTTCTTAATATATTCTCTTTTCTACTTTTTCATTTACCTTACAGTTTTATACTACACCTACTATTTTCTTCTTAAATCCCACAAAAAACTAAGGAGACTATTATTTAAAATCGGTGAAAGTATTAATATAGTGTTTTATACTTCAGGCCTCATATTCAATTTTGCACAGGGCCTTCTACTTGTCAGGGCCGGCCCAGAGATTGATACATGGTGTGAAGGACATGTTTATTTGAACTTACATTTGTTGGCTTGATTTGACTTAGTAACTTAGTATGGCATTGTTTATGTATTTTGATCAACTTCAGTGTGGCTAAATCTCGTCTATTTCTAATCCAGACTGATTTAAAATTTTTTTATTCCTCTGTATGACTGTATCATATGAGTTTGATGCTCGGACTTGTCTGGTCTAATATGTTTTGATTTTAAGATGTTTGCATTAAGACTATTTTTTTTTTCAAATCTACGTATGCTACTTTGGTCTAAACTTGTTTGATGTGATACGATGTACTCCCTCCGGTTTTTAATAAACTTCACACTTTCCTTTTGGGGACGGTCTAAAATAAACTTCACATTTCCTTATTTCCTTTTTTGGCAAAGAAATCTACATCAAAACAGTGCCAAACAGTGTCTCAAAAGTGCCAAACAGTGTCTCTACAGTGGCAAATGGTGTCAAACAGTGCCTCAACAGTGTACTCTACAGTAAAGTCGAATTTCTTTCCTTATTTTGTGTGAAGTCAAAGTGTGAAGATTAAATAAAACCGGAAAAAGTAGTATGTTGTGAAAATACCATACATCATACATGTAAGACACCATTAATTTAAGAATAGAATATAAGTTATTACGGGGTATATTTTAGTAACCACCACATCTTTTGATTGTATTAGTAGCATTTTTCCCTATAATGAAATGGAGTGGGCGGAGTTTGTGGGAACGGAGAACCTTTTAAAAAGTAGGGGTGAACATGGTATTGAACCACGAAACACAATTTCAACTGGATCTTTAGAAACTGTACTTCAACCGTGGAGTTCCAAACCATTACATGATCAATTTTGACAAAATGAGGATTGGTAGCGATCCGGACCGAAGTATAGGTTAATTACTCTATCCTAAATTTCTAATACCATTCCAGTATACCTTTCTGTTGAGCTAGCTCGCTCCTCGATGTTATAACACACAATTTGGTTAGCTATTTTTTCGCTTAACTAGTCTTCAATTAGTTGTTTTTTAAACTCTTTGATTTGATTGTAAAATTGACAAATGCGAAATGTGAAAACTAAGCTACCAACTGAGTCACTGAGATGAAAAAGATATTTCAAATTCGTAGAACACAACAACTACTCTTTGTGGTATAAAACCTGCCATTGCTAGCCACCACAACTTGATTACCTATATTCTAATTTGTGACTCTATTTGTGTGTTCTTAAATTCGATCTTTTTGGTTAGTATGTTTTTTAATTACTTTGAGTTGAAATGATATGAGGTGGAAACTGATTCAAGCTAAGAGTACTTAGCGCAAAGGAAAGTTTGCATTGCACTCCTACTAAGGCTTTAATAACTTAGTAGGATCATGTCTCCTCTTGATTTTATGCGTTGTACTACTCAAATACATCTAACTTTATTAATTATGTAATTTCAAAACTGACTTAACCTTTAAATTGGTTACTACTTACTAGTGTTGTTTTTGGAGAATGACTTAACTTTGATGCATGTACATAGCTTATGTATCTTTATGTGATCTTAAGCAATGAAAATATATGACATTATTTGATTATTAATATTGATATGATATGCTATTATCCCAATTTTTTAATCATCAAATCTAAAAACTATATTAAATGAAAATAATGTTCGTCACATGGCTGATAATACATTCAAAAAAATAGAGGTAACCAAAATGATATAAAGTCTTATGTTTGTCGTCCGCCCTCGAACCAAACTTAGAATCTACAACCTCTGTAGAAGCAATACTATTCGCTGATCCTATAATGGGCTTAACTGAGCCAATGACTGGCAAACCAGACTTCTCATCTCCTAACTTAAATTCTAGAAACTCTCTGCTAAGAAATAAGAACACATCCAAAACAACATGCAATTCGAAAGAAATACGCACACAGAATAAAACAGAATTAAACAGAGTTTACCCATCTTCTTCCAAACCCTAGACATGCTTGCACTCCACGACGACGGCTCAGGTGGGGGACACGCCCGCCGCTCATCTGCCTCTATAGTCAAGCTTTTGACGATATCCTCCTCTAACATCCATTGTTGTCGAATGGAAATCATACTCCGCCACAGCTTATCCACCTTTGATTTGACAATACTCGTCCTTCGACAAGAAACAACAGCAGAAGTCGAGCCCTAGCCGCCAAAAGCGCTACATCCCTAATCTTGAGCCTTACGATGTTGCGTTACGCCTCGCCCAACAAACCTCCAGAATGCCGCTTCACAGTTCTTCCTCGACGAAACCTTGGACCACGATGATCGCCCTCGCCTCCTATCCGAATCCCTCTGTCCGACCTCCAAATTTCTGATGATAACAGGTGCCGGCCGAAACCAACCCCGCTCCTCGGCTAAGCCGATAGTGGACAAATCGATGCGAAGCGTTGCCTTGATATGTTATTGTTTTAAATGAAATGATATCAAACAAATTTAACTCTAAAATCCAAGTGAACCCAATTGAATTATTTTAAATAGTCACGCTACATGTGTACATGTAGGAATTCGATAAAATATTGAAATGATATTCTATAGTGTGTCTATCCCTAATTAAAATGGAAATCTAAAGTAGCTCTGATTGTGCATATAATCCGAATTGTCTGGTCAACAAAATCTTTGCCCAAATCAATCTCCACCCTTGGCCCAATAATATCCGAACCGTTTATTCATCCTTGCGAATCTCTTATTCCATCTCGGCCTCAAATTTTCCCAGACGGCGTCTTCGCCATCCCAATCTACGCTCTCTTCAGACAGGCCCCGAGAGGCCAAGACCCGACACGTACCTACCTACACGGCTACACACACGGAATCAGGAGAAACAAAGATAGCTTTCTCCCATGGATTCAGATCTCGGGAAGCTCTTTATTGGCGGGATATCATGGGAAACCAATGAAGATAAGCTTAAGGATTACTTTCAGAGATATGGTCAGGTGGTTCAGGCTGTCGTTATGAGAGACAAGGTTTCTGGGAAGCCTAGAGGTTTTGGATTTGTCGATTTCGCAGATCCCAATGTTCTTGACACAGTCCTTCAGGATAAGCACACTATCGATGGCCGTACTGTAAGAATTCTTCTTTTTTCAAAAACCTTCTCTACTTTTCTAGCTGAATTTTTGTATGTCCGCTGCAGATATAACCTTTTATTGGATCAAATTTGGAGTTTTTTCTGCAATTCAGTGATTGTTTTGTAATTAGAGTCACTCATTAGTGGGCACCTTTTGATTATGGCTTCTCAGTAGTCCGAGGGTTCTCAAGTGTATACCATTAGGTCTTATACTTTAATCTCGTTTTTCCAGCTAAATTATGCCTTTTTGTTAATTAATTTATACTTTTGATACCCTAAACCTGAAATTAGGGCTTATGGCTATTCAAATGTGTCTAAGGTATGAACTTCATTTATCTTGAAATTGATCTTGGGTCATCCTTGACAAACCATAATGGAATTTAGTTTAATCAAGTATATAGTTCTGGCATAAATTTACTTTACACAATTACACCTACATTTGACAGCCAGATTAGGCATTTTCTTGTTTAGAATTTCCACTTGGAAAAGCCTAAACTTGGAATCAGGTATACAGGAGGAGGTTTATTACGGTCTGTGATTCAGTTGCTAATTGTTATTGTTCAAACCTGGCAAATATAAGAACTTTTGTTTATCTTGAAATAGAATTTAATATTTCTAGTATAAATAGCTATCTTTTCGTGTGCCTATATAGGTAGAGGCAAAAAGGGCCTTGCCAAGAGAGGAGCAACATATGTCAAAACCCGGAAATGCCAACAACAATGGCGGTGGTTATGGAGGAGGAGGTGGCAATAACCGGACCAAGAAAATCTTTGTTGGGGGATTACCGCCCGCCCTGACTGAGGATGAGTTCCGCCGATACTTTGAGACTTATGGGAACGTGACTGACGTGGTGGTTATGTATGACCAGCAAACAACCCGACCTCGCGGGTTCGGTTTCATCTCATTTGATTCTGAAGACGCAGTTGACCGTGTTTTACATAAGACCTTCCATGACTTAAGCGGTAAGCAAGTTGAAGTAAAGCGTGCTTTTCCCAAGGACTCTAACAACTCTACCTCTGGGGGCCGTTCCACGGGTGGTAATGGTAACTATCAGGGGTATGGTGGTAATAAACCAGATTCCAACAGGTATATGTCCTCACAAAACACAGGAGTAGGAGTGGGAGGAGGAGGGGGTTATTCTGCCAGTGCTACTGCCTATGGTTCCTCAGGATTTGGTGCTGCTGGAGGTTATGGATTTCCTCCTAACAATGGAATCGGTTATGGCAGTGGTTATGGAAGTTTTGGTGCTCCCACCCCGGGTTATGGTGGCTACATGAACCCAAATGCTCCAGGTAGTGGACCAAGAAGTTCATGGGGCTCTCAGGGTCCCACCGCATATGGAGGTATGGGTGGTTATGGAAGCGCACCTTGGAATACTTCCAATGCCACTCCTGGTGGGGGTGGTGGGGGTGGAGCTCCAGGTCAATCTCCTGCAGGAGTGGCGGGTTATGGGAGTCAAGGGTATGGTTATGGAGGAGGGTATGGAGGAAATGCTGGACGTGTTGGTGGTGGTCCGAGAACAACCTCACCAGCTGGTGGTGGTGCCGGAGATATGCTAGGGGGTGGCGGGGGCTATGGCGGTGGTTATGGTGGAGGAGCATATGGTAATACTGTTGGAAGTTATGGCTATGGAAATGCAGCAGCCTATGGATCTAGCAACTATGGGTCAAATGGGACCCCCGGAGGCCGGGTAGGGTATGAAAGCCACTACGATGGGAGCAACTACAGTAGCATACCAGGTCGGCAATCTCAACAGTAGTCAGTGGTTGAATGTATGATCAGTTGGGCTTCTTGAGTCTATGCTTGGTCCAACACTAGTGAGTGTTTTCTCACTAAGTTTTTTTCCATTGCCATTATATGGTTCTTTTTATGCAGTAGCTTTTATATTTGTCATATGTTTGTAGTGTCTATTTTACTAGAGAAAGCTGTTTGCATGGCTTTTGACTGTGCTTCTAGATATATGATTGTACTTTTATGTTGAACTTCTGTTTCTACCCAATTATGATGAGTCTTTCGGTAACGGATTACTTAGCATCATTTATCCTTTTCTCTCTTTTCATATCAACTGAATGCATTCTGAGCTATATTTTTTTGGTGTTGTTTGTATACCCTATTTCATTGGCTTATTTATGCTTTTGGTTCGTGATGCAAAAAGAATAGTGAGGTTTTGGTGACTACTTTTTCAATTTGCTTGTGTACTTGTATATTTTCGAAATTCGAAATATTTATCTGGTTGCATTTGTTCTATGGATAAACTCTTCCGGACATGCCGACATGCTATCAGTCTATACCATCCATTCATCCAATTTGGGACAGAAAAAGTGATATCTGGGAGTGTTTTGCATTGCTGCGGAAGTGCTTTTCATCTTCTAGTGTTTTCAAAAAACTAGTTTTTAAAGCTTGAAGCAAATAGATAGGTGCTTCAAACAGTTTTTCATTTTCTATTAAGTAATTTTTTATTAAACACTACAACTTATACCTTTTCAAAATAAGGGCCCGTTTGGTAGTTCACACATTAAAACTTTACACGCAAAATGATTGCATGTAAAATGTAGGGTTGTAATTAGTTTGCATGTAAACTAAAAATACATCGTTTGTTATCTATGTAATCCGTTTAAACTACACGCAAACTTTTTATAATGTTTTTTTTTTGGAAAATAGTTTTACACGTAAAATTTACAAAATTAAAGAACATGAAATATTTACACAATCACAAATCGTACTTATCCCAACCACAAAAATTTAAAACCTAGCATGCATCTTGACTTTAATCCGATATGAGCAAATCATAAATTAAAAACCAAGCACAAATTAAAATCATGCAGTTATCACCATTATATAGGAACAAGGGGTGTAGACGGTAGTCTGTAGAGAGCTCGCAAATGGAGAAGGCAAGAGATTTGATGATTTGTAGGAGAAAAAAAGAGTTTAATTTATTGTAGGCATGTAATAGTAGTGAAAAAGAGTCAAATGCTTCCTATCGATCAATTTTTCAACCAAACATGTAATAGTAGTGGAAAATTAAGAAAGGAAGATAGAGTCACCCTTGGGAGGTGAAACCTGCCCGGCCCGCTACTGTGCAAGCCCAACCCGGATCGGTGAACCGGTTATGATTCCGGGTCTAGGCTCGGTCCCGGTTCAGCCCACTCTTTGGAACCGGCCCGGCCGGTCCTGGGCCCGGTTCGAGTCTTTTTTTTTGACAAGATGAAATACAAACCTTACTAATGGAGTGTGTGTCAGTGTGTGGCTTAAAGTGTAAGTAGTTTCGGGTAGTAAATTAAATGGGTGACATAGATAATATCATGTGATTTTGGATAAAGTAGATTTTTTAATAAAATGATCTGCTATAAATTAAATAGATATTTAGAGAGTGGTGTATTCTTCTTTTATATATATATTGGTTTGCAAACATTTTTTAATAAAATGATCTGCTAGAAATTAAATAGATATTTAGAGAGTGGTGTATTCTTCTTTTATATATATTGGTTTGCAAATTATATTAATTTAAGAAGTGCTTTATTTTGTGAATATAGTTTGTGAATATGTTTTTTTTCCAAGAGTCAATATGAAAATTGTAAAAAGAAAAGGAAGAAAAAAAAGTAGGAATGTAAAATTCACTCCGTATATTTCATTGGCATTTTTCTATTTATTTGTATATTCTACTTTTTTAGAATTCTACATTGTAGTAATATACTATGTACATATTCATGTATTTTTATTTAAGTAAATAGTTTTTTAGTATTTATCCAATTTGAATTTTTTAGTATTTTTTATTTATTTATATTTATTTTAAATATTTATGTGAATTTATATATATAAAACATTCAATTTTCTTAACTTTTTTAAGAACTACTATGGCTAGATTGAATCTATATTGAAAATAAACGAGCTAAATTGACTCCATTACTTTTTTTACATAGGGATTCAATTTGCTCACTTTCAACATTTTGTCACAAATATAGTTTAGAAGTGATGTAACACGCTTTCACATATTTGCGCACCCCTATTTTGTCAGCTTACATGGGCAATTCATCTAAAAGTGCATTTCGCATAAATTTATAGTCACCCTATTATGTACTCATTATAAATAATTTACCTCTAATTAATTAATATTTATATATAAAGCAATGAAGCCAAAAAGTCACTATTGTTTTTGGAATTATGATGGAATAAAGCAAAATGACTCGGTAAGCTGTCTGCGTTGCTTTGTTACGAAACAATTAATCTGTCCATACATTATTTGGTGAAATTTTCATCATTAGTCATCCGAAAATAGTCTCTTTGTGTTTTAGTACAAGAGCTACTCTGCGTACATTTCATCTCCTTTACCTCACCATAGGTGTGAGCCTTTGTGTTACTCGGGTATTGATGTTGATGATATACTTCGTATAAACACTTCAAAATAGAAAGAAAAAAATTGACAAATGATTCAATTAAAATAACAATATTTTTTTAAATTTGAGTAAGATTATATTATTTGTGAAATTTCATCAACCGTGCATCGCACGGGTGTTCTACTAGTTATATAGGAACAAGGGGTGTAGACGGTAGTCTGTAGAGAGCTCGCAAATGGAGAAGGCAAGAGATTTGATGATTTGTAGGAGAAAAAAAGAGTTTAATTTATTGCCGGCAAGATTGACTTGCGGCCAAAATCCAATTTTCAAACGCCTGCTAGGTTGAATTGTTATTAGATGCGTTTATTCTCCCGTATCAAGGGATGTAAACTACTTTACTAGCCTGCCCCCAAGTAAAATATTTTACATGGTACAGTGTAAAATGTTTTTAAAAAAGTGCCCTACAGTTTACATTAAATAGTCAAAACAAACGATGTAAAATGTTTACTTCCCCACACTTTACACGCAAAATGTTTACTTTACATCATAACAAACGAGCCCTAATTTTTTGCCCAAACACAATCAGTTTTACTAGTAACTAATAGATTCGCTTAAGAGGCTGAGCTGGCCCACACATCACAAAAATGGCCAAGTCTAAACATTCTTACTTGAAAATATAAAATTATTTAGAGAAAATTGTCAAATATGTCTCTTACTACCAATCTATCATGAAAAAGTCAATTAAAACCTTGAACTCAATTATCATTCAATCAAGTATCCCATCATAAAAAAAATAAAACCAACTTTTTAAAATGTTAACAAATAACAATCGGTTCTTGTGTACGTAGACACGCCGACACATGTCAGAATTTCAATGTTTCTTTCTCTTTTTTTCTTCACTTTCTCTTTCTTCCTTCATCTCTGCTATGCCGCTAGGACACCCCTCCTCTCTATTCCTTTTTTCTTCGTATGCCCCTTCTTGCTCTTTCTTTCTTTCTTTCTTTGTACGCGATATGCGTAGGACACCCCCTCTCTATTCCTTTTTTCTTCGTACGCCCAGAATATCCCTCCAGTATGCGCACGCACACAAAAGAAGACATACACAGATAATACACACACACAAATTATTACTCCCTCCGATTTTTAATAAATTTCACACTTTCCTTTTTGGGACGATCTAAAATAAACTTCACACTTCCTTATTTCCTTTTTTGGAAAAGAAATCTACATCAAAAGAGTGCCAAACAGTGTCTCAACAGTGCCAAACAGTGTCAAACAGTGCCTCAATAGTGTACTCTACAATAAAGTCAAACCGGAGGGAGTATATGAATTAGCTCCAATTTCTTCTTGCCTAAATAAATCAAAATCCAATTAAGCATAATTTCTTAGCTTTTAGATTCAAACGAAATAAGTTTTGAAATCAAAATACGGAGTAAAAGATGAAGAAAAGCGGATTGAGAGATAAAGGAAGATGGAGAGGGTTATAGTGGGACAAAAGAATGGGGGAAGAAATAGATTTGTGGGTTTTGTTGATGTGTGATGGCTGGAGGTGACGAACCGAAAAGCAAGAGAGGGCTCACGAGCGGAGAACCAGGGTGAAAAGAAAGATAAGGAACAAAAGAAAAGAAAAAGCTAAAAAATAAAGGCAATGTTACGTTCCATGTCACATGTGCAGTTTACCTGGGAATCGGGAGATTACAGGCAGAAAACCCAAATTGAAAAATTTATAAGGGTTCAAGGGTGTAATTGAATTATAAATGAGTTGAGTTGGAGGTCTTATGATCTTTTTGTAACAATAACGGGGGCTTATTTGACAATTGTCTTAACTACTCCGTATTTATGTCATAAAATTCAATGTAATCAATTAAGTGAGTGAAAAAAATACATACTGTAGAAATGTAATACCGAGTAATAAAATAAAACTTCAAACTTATTCTTCTAATCTAAACATCTCAAACTCCAACATCAACCTTTATCAACTATCAATCATTGAGAGTTTCATTCTCTTCTAATATAATACTCCGTAGTACATAACTTTGTGTATATAACTTTCTTGATTCAATGTTGGTTTTTATGCATCCAAGATTTGACCGGTGTCCAATATTATAAGAAAATCGGAGCTCTAATTGTCTTGGATTTCACATAGGTTTTGTCCGAAAAACTCTATGCTACTAATTCTAGGATATGTAAAATGGGACGAAGAGAATACTACAATTATGTACAACAATTAATTAATGATTGTGTGTTAAGATAGTGCTTTTGAGTTGGGCTCACTTGGGTTTAAGAGGTTGGCCTGGAAGGAAACATGACATGCCGGTCCAATGAATAGGGTAAGGTTTTAAATACATTGTCTCATACCCACTCCTTCAAAATTCAAATAGTTGACTGGTTTGATGAGTGACCCATTTAGGATGAGCTGGTTGGGCTTTTTAGAAAATGGATTGGACATGTTCCCACATGTTAGAAAAATAGTATTAAAAATGCGAGTTTAGTCAGATAAAATCCCGAGTTTAATCACAAATCACCAGACAAACCACCAAATGCAAGAACAAATAAAATAGAAACAATAATTAGAAATTAAATATTAAAATAAAAGGTAGAGAAAAGAAGACTTAGCGTAAGATCGTCCGTTAAACGGACTGGCCTTGAAGAAAGATAGCCCCCGTATCTCGATAGCTACTCGAACGGGACTGGCCAACTCGCTCCCAGGATAATCCTACCTCTGTTTCGGTCCTTTAGCTTGCTTGACAGAAACACTCCGACCGTTGCCCAATTGTCGATTAAAAGAAAGAAGAGCTCAAAAGGATGACCAAGATTATAATATTACTATGGGTATGATATGAGTTTTCTTTTCTTTCGAAACGGGGAAAAGCAAAAACACCAGGCCAAATGGAGAGTACGTAGTATTTAGTGGTGGAGCTTTTTGGGTTTCAAGTTGAACGCATGCGGTGGGCTATGTTGTACTGAAATCAGAATTAATTTATTCATTATATAAATATAGATTAGAATTCGGAAGTAGTTGGTGCTCCTACATGTTTGGCACGAGCCAAAGATTTCGGATAAAGCCAAGCAGCTCTCTAGACCAGGTAAACAACAATTTGAAATCAAAATTTCAAACCAGTATTTATTCGCTACAATTGCAACTGATTCGAAATTAACTTTTCAAATTAATCTGTACCACCAAACTACATTTCCAAAAAATAATCGAGGCTACGATTTACTAAAGTGCAGAATTTGTCCAAAATAAATGCCTCCAAATGTCTATATTCATACTACCACACATGAGTATGTCTGGAACAATCTTTTAAGTCTTATGTGATAATAATATTCTTTATCACATAATATTCTATAAACAAATTGAGGCTATTTATTTACTACTAAATTCACTTTATTAATATATCACTTTACAACATTTACAACTATGGATTCTATTCATTTGATGAAATAATCCAAACATGTTAGTTGTTCTTTGATATATAATCAGCCTTCTCAATTCATATTTATACAATTATATCCTAGGAGTACTGAACGAAACTCCTCAATATAATAAATATTTCATCATATTTCCAACAATCCCCCACAAATCCATAGTTGTAGACAAGACTCTAACGGACATAGTGTGCTTTCAAAAATGGTACCTTCCGGTTTGAACCAACTTCTAAGCTTTTACCCCTAACCCCCACAGGAACAGAGTGAACATAGTTCTTGAACTCGAACCTTGGTTGTGGTGGCGTGGGATAAAAGCAACACACTAAAGGCAATGGCAACGATCTATAGGGTTGACACTTTACGGCCGTGCGTCCCGATCCTGTCTCAAGAATGTCATCGAGAATTAACCCCTATTCTCTTATTGCGGCCACACAATAACATTCTCATAGTTGGGCATCTCCAAGAGTGCATTGCTAACACTCTGCTATTAATTAAAGCTCGATCCCATTCAGAGTCTTAAACTCTTACTTACTTAGCAATTTCAGCATCTCTCAGGCTTATCAAGGAATAGAACTCATTAAATATTTTAATGAGATGCACAATTCACTCTACGGTTTGTTTATACCACATTGAACCTACTTTGTGGGATCTCCACTCAGATAGGTTGGGTTGCTACCGTAGTTGAATAATTGTTGGGTTTCAGTCCCATTCCTAACCTGGATTTTATCACTTGATTTAAATCAAGTCCTTTTGTTAAAGGGTCCGCTGTATTATCTTTGGATCCAACAAAATCAACAGCAAACACCCCTTGAGACACAAATTTCCTTATAGTTTTTAATCTAACTTGAATGTGTCTCCTAGTCTTTTGATTATACTTGGTACTCCTAATTTTTGTAATTGTGCTCATACTATCACAATGCAAACAAATAGGTGGAATTGGCTTGCTGAATATAGGTAACTCAGACATTAGTCCCATAAACCATTCAGCCATAATTCCAGTAGTATCCAACGCACACAATTCAGCCTCAAAAGTAGACCGAGAAAGTATTGTTTGTTTAGTGGACTTCCAGGCAACGGCCCCACCACCAAACGTAAACACATAACCGGTACATCCATAACTCCCGGAGTTCTTAGCTATCCAGCTTGCATCACTATATCCCTCAAGAACAGGAGGATATTTACCGTAATGCAAACACAAGGAAATAGTTCCTTTTAAGTATCTAAATACTCTATCTAAGGCTTCCCAATGAGTCCTATTCGGACAACAAGTGTACCGACTTAACTTAGACATGCACTGAAAATGCAATATCAGGTCTAGTACAGTTAGCTAAGTAACCCAAGCTACCAATCATCTGAGAATATCTTAATTGAGACACAGGAACATCACTTTCATTTTTATACAAAGCTACTGAAGGATCATAGGGTGTTTTAGCAATTCTACTATTTTTAAATCCAAATTTCTCAATTAATTTTTCAATATAATGCGACTGCGAAATAGAAATTCCTTCAGTTGATCTAGTCAACTTTAGTCCAAGAATTACTTCGGTCACCCCCATATCTTTCATTTCAAACTTTGTTTTCAAAAATGATTTAGTCTCAAAAATAATATTATCATTAGTGCCAAATAATAATATATCATCAACATATAGGCATAAAATAATACTAATATCACCTTTACATTTATAATAAACACTTTGATCAGCATCTATAAGAGTAAATCCAAACGAGAGAATTATTTTATCAAATTTTTCGTTCCATTGCTTAGGGGCTTGCTTAAGTCCATATAAAGACTTAACTAATTTACAAACTTTTCTCTCATTGCCTTTTGCCACAAATCCTTCAGGCTGGTCCATATAAATTTCTTCTTCAAGGTCACCATGAAGAAAAGCTGTCTTAACATCCATTTGATGAATTTTAAGACCATATACGGAGGCCATTGCTATAAGCATTCTAATTGTGGTCATTCTTGCAACCGGAGCATATGTATCGAAAAAATCAATACCTTCTTTTTGTTTGTAACCCTTGGCAACTAATCTGGCCTTAAATTTATCAATGGTTCCATCTGGTTTTAATTTCTTCTTAAAAATCCATTTACACCCAATAGTAGTACACCCGGGAGGTAGATCAACGAGCTCCCATGTTCCATTTTGAACAATGGAGTCCTTTTCACTTTTAATGGCATCCTTCCAATGCATGGCTTCGGAAGTAGCCATTGCATCTCTAAAGGAAACTGGATCACCCTCAATATTGTAAGTGATAAAATCACTTCCAAATTCCTTAGTGGTCCTAGCCCGTTTGCTCCTTCTAGGCTCATCTAGTTCATTTGATTCAAAACTAGCGAGACTAGTACTACTAGATTCTACCCCCACATTTGTCATCTTTTCCACTTGATCAGGAATTGAATTAAATGTGGTTTCTTGATTTTTAAAAGAAATATTTTGGGGGACACCCGTTTTCATTAGGAAAACATTTTCAAAGAAAGTAGCATCACGAAGTTCTATAATAGTATTAACATCTATGCCAGAAATTTCAGATTTAATAACCAAAAATCTCAATGCATAAGAATGTTCAACATAACCAATAAAAATAGCATCAACAGTTTTAGGCCCAAGTTTCTTTCTTTTGTGTTCAGGGACTAATACTTTTGCAAGACAGCCCCACACTTTAAAATATTTTAAACTTGGTTTTCTGCCTATCAAGAGTTCAAATGGACACTTATCTTTATGTTTCATGGGAATCCTGTTCAGAATATGGCAGGCCGTATTCAAGGCTTCCCCCCCACATAAACTTAGGTAATCCAGAATTCTCTAATAAACTGTTAATCATATCTTTAAAAGTTCTGTTTTTCCGTTCAGCTACTCCATTTGATTGTGGTGAATAAGGAGGTGTTTCTTCATGTACTATACCATATTTTTGGCATTCTAGTACAACTAAATTAGAAGTGTACTCTCCTCCCCTATCAGATCTTAACCTTTTAATTTTCTTGCCGGTTTGATTCTCTATTTCATTCTTAAAAATTAAGAATTTTTCAAGAGCTTCATCTTTACCCTTAAGTAGATACACATAACAGTATTTAGAATAATCATCAATAAAAGTGATAAAGTATTTCTTCTTGTCACGAGTCAACACTCCATTAAACTCACAAATGTCGGTATGAATTAAATCAAGTAATTCAGAATTTCTATCAATTGAATGATATGGTTTTCTTACTTGTTTTGTAGTAGCACATACCATACATTTCTTAGTTTTATCAATAGAGTGTTTAGGAATTAAATTTAAATTCATCATTCTTTTTACAGAATCTAAATTAACGTGACCCAAACGATAATGCCATAAAGTTGAAGAATCACAATTCTCAGATACATAATTTAATTCAAAATAATCAACCACAATCTTAAAAAGTCCATCCGACAAGTAACCCTTGCCAATAAAAATTCCACCAAATAAAATTACAACTTTATTAAATTTAAAAGATAACTCATAACCCTCCCTAACTAGAATGGAACCACTAACAATGTTCCTTCTAATTTCGGGAACGTGATGCACTCCATGCAAAGTAAGTATTTTTCCCGAAGGAAATTTTATTTCTACTTTTCCAACTCCATGCACACTAGCAGCACTTGTGTTTCCCATCATCACTGTTCTTCCAACCGCAGGCTGATAAGAAACAAAGAGCGATTTATCAGCACATACATGCACATTCGCTCCTGTATCTATTAGCCACTCATTGGAATTATATATAGTGAAAACTTGAGGGTTAATGGAAACATACCCATCGGAACTAGTTCCTCCAGTCACCACGTTGACTTGAGGTCCACCAGATTGAGCCTTAACCTTTTTATTTGGGCATAATTTGGCCCAATGCCCCATCTGTCCACAGTTCCAGCATGGCCGGTTTGCCTTTGGTTTCTTTGCAATTTTTAATTTGGCCTTTATTGGTTTAAAAGATGATGGTTGTTTATTTTTAGAATTTTGTGACTGCTTTCCCCCGGTTACAACATGAGCCTTTGGCTGAAATTCAACAGGCACAATATAACCCGCTTTCTTATGTTCTTCCTCAACAGTAATGGAATGCATCAAACTTTTCCAAGTTATCTTTTTCATTTTGTGTTTTAAAGTCAAACCAAAATCTTCCCAAGATTTGGGGAATTTTTCAATTACAGCCATGACTTTAAATTTTTCAGGCAATTCCATATCTGCTTCACGGAGAGAATGTAAGATAAGCTCAAATTCTTGTGTTTGTTCTAAAACAGATTTTCCCTCTTTCATGTCGAATCTCAAGAATTTGGAAACAATATACTTTTCTAGACCGTGGTCATCAGTATTATATTTCCTATCCAACTCATCCCAAAGATCTTTAGCCGTGCCGTGGAGGGTGCAATACACATCAAATAACATGTCGGAGAGTCCCAACAATATCATTCCTTTGGCTATTTCATTCCTCTCACGCCATAAAGTTTGGCGTTCAAGACCTTTGGGATCAGACTCGACAACGGGGGGACACACCGTCATAATTACCGAGAGCAATCCCTTGGTGATTAACCAAATTTTCATGCGTTGTTGCCAACGCTTGAAAAAATGCCCGGAAAATTTTTCAGGCATTCCCGTCAAATCAACCCTGTGAGAGCCCGTAGCAACAAATTCAGGTGTGTCACCAGAATTAGTCACAAACACAGAATTAACATTATTTTCAGGGGTTTCATTCACATTATTCTCAACAACAACGTTTTCAGAAGTAGCAGCATTTTCCAAGTTCGTCATATTGGATTTTCAAAACTCGAGAAATAATATCTTTCTTCAAGATTGTTAGAAAAATAGTATTAAAAATGCGAGTTTAGTCAGATAAAATCCCGAGTTTAATCACAAATCACCAGACAAACCACCAAATGCAAGAACAAATAAAATAGAAACAATAATTAGAAATTAAATATTAAAATAAAAGGTAGAGAAAAGAAGACTTAGCGTAAGATCGTCCGTTAAACGGACTGGCCTTGAAGAAAGATAGCCCCCGTATCTCGATAGCTACTCGAACGGGACTGGCCAACTCGCTCCCAGGATAATCCTACCTCTGTTTCGGTCCTTTAGCTTGCTTGACAGAAACACTCCGACCGTTGCCCAATTGTCGATTAAAAGAAAGAAGAGCTCAAAAGGATGACCAAGATTATAATATTACTATGGGTATGATATGAGTTTTCTTTTCTTTCGAAACGGGGAAAAGCAAAAACACCAGGCCAAATGGAGAGTACGTAGTATTTAGTGGTGGAGCTTTTTGGGTTTCAAGTTGAACGCATGCGGTGGGCTATGTTGTACTGAAATCAGAATTAATTTATTCATTATATAAATATAGATTAGAATTCGGAAGTAGTTGGTGCTCCTACATGTTTGGCACGAGCCAAAGATTTCGGATAAAGCCAAGCAGCTCTCTAGACCAGGTAAACAACAATTTGAAATCAAAATTTCAAACCAGTATTTATTCGCTACAATTGCAACTGATTCGAAATTAACTTTTCAAATTAATCTGTACCACCAAACTACATTTCCAAAAAATAATCGAGGCTACGATTTACTAAAGTGCAGAATTTGTCCAAAATAAATGCCTCCAAATGTCTATATTCATACTACCACACATGAGTATGTCTGGAACAATCTTTTAAGTCTTATGTGATAATAATATTCTTTATCACATAATATTCTATAAACAAATTGAGGCTATTTATTTACTACTAAATTCACTTTATTAATATATCACTTTACAACATTTACAACTATGGATTCTATTCATTTGATGAAATAATCCAAACATGTTAGTTGTTCTTTGATATATAATCAGCCTTCTCAATTCATATTTATACAATTATATCCTAGGAGTACTGAACGAAACTCCTCAATATAATAAATATTTCATCATATTTCCAACACCACAGACTTATAAACTCATATCATCTTCAATGCAAAAACGTGAATCGTACATACGTGACATTAGAGATAATCAGTAAAAAAACAACAAATATAATATTCATCTCCTAATATGAACAATTATATGTGTTTTTGATAAGTTTTTCTTCACAATGTCAAACACAATGTCTAGATGTAGACATTCTGGTTGAGATTGTTGAGAAAAACTTACCAATAACATGTAAGACCGTGAAAAGTAAAGAGATAAATGTCAGAAATTTAATTTGGGAAAAGGGGCAAATAAGCCCTTGAACTAATAAAAAAAGTGCAAATAAGCCCTTTTGTAGGAGGTTTCGTCCGGTCATCGTCATTTGGGGAGGTTCACGGTGGAATTTTTTGATGAAATTTTTTGAGCATCTTATTCTTAAGTCTAGTTTAGTCCTACTGAATTTCAGCTAAAAATTCAGCCGGGAAGACAGTCAAATGAATTTTTGAAGATAACTGCGCAGTTAAACAACACAGTATATTTCCGAAAATCATTTGAGTGCCTTGCCGGTTGAATTTTTAGCTGAAATTCGGTATGGCTAAACTAGACATAATGAAGAAGATGTTCAAAAAAATTCATCAAAAAATTCCACCGAGAACCTCCCCAAATGACGATGATCGGACAGAACCTCCTACCAGGGGCGGATTCAGAAATTTTAGTTATTGGGGGCACTTATTAAAGAAAAGCCAAAAACGTTTGAATAATAGATACTTCATCCTTTCTTTTTAATTTCATTATTTATTCTAAAAACTTAAAATATTAGATTTTGAAAATTTAAAATGAGAGGAATTTAATACGGAGTAAAAAAATTTCAAATATCAAATTTTGATTACCAAATAAATAAAATGTAGGCAAAGTAGAGCATGTGAGTAATGTAAAATTTAACATTTTGTAATTAAAAAAGGGAAGTGGTATAAATTCATTTCAATAACTGAAATAATTCAATATTTTAAAAATAAAAGTAGTACATAGCATATATTATTACGACCGATCCTTACGAGTTTTCATTTTTGGTAAATGCTTCATCAAAATTGCATTTTTAATTATATCAAGCACATCTCTTTACAAATAACAAATAAAACAATCATTCAAAAACTAGTTGATCCTAATGCGTAAACTTGACTTGATAATGTTCATCCCGAAAAAAACATCATTCAAGTGTAGTGGTTGTAAAGGAAAAATTCAATGATAATTTCATTCATCATCGTGCACATACTCGTGATTTGTACATATTATGGTGAACAATTTTTTAAATTTCGAGGCATTTGGTAATACCCAATTAGTTGTGTTGGTTGATTTTGGTGAAATATTTGAAGTTCTGGCTAAAGTGACTATATTGGTTGATTCTTCTGATTTGTGGAAAAAATATTTAAACTATATTTTATTAATAAAACAAAGAAATAATTATATGAAGAAATAGCTAAAATGGTCTCCTACAATAATTTCTGCCAATACAATCAGAAAAGTAGCTCCAACCTTACTTTTTCTTATTATTACATCATTGCGCGCGAAACCAAACGTCATATGTTTGGTGAAAAAGTTGCCTGATAAGTCTGAAAGCAAAAAAACATGATCAAACACACTCTTCTTCTTGGAAAATGAACAAATTAATTTTGGACACCGAATCGGTTGTGGATACTCAATTCTTCGTGTAAGTTGTGCAATGAGTATTGAATGATTTTTTAAGGATAGATCATACGGTATCATTAAATTAAATATGTTAAAAAATACGGATTATAAATTAGAATGACATCAGTGTGGACTAGCCGAGAGTACTCCACATTTGATGCTTTGCATACTCGGTTTTTTATACTCGGTAATTCAGTCTGTATAGGTTAATGGGGGGCACCGAGTTTTTGGATTGGGGCACTACCTTTTCTTCTTATAGGTTAAAGTTTTGAAGTTCATTGGGGCATGTGCCCCCATTAAATACAATCCGCTCCTGCCTCCTACAAAAGGGCTTATTTGCACTTTTTTTATTAGTTCGAGGGCTTATTTGCCCCTTTTCCCATTTAATTTTTTGTATCTATGTCTCTCATGCCAACTACGCACCATGCACATTGGGGGTGTTTGGCAAATGGCGGTTGACTGTTAGCTATTGGCGGATTCTGTTGGCTAATTGATCACAGCGGATTCTGTTGGCGGTTTTGATTAGCTGATAACATTAGCAGTTTGTAAAATAGTGTTTGGTAAAATAGTTGTTTACAATTAGCAGATAACTTGTTAAATGACTTGTAAGGACATCAATTAATTTTTCTTTTATAATGTCATTAGTACAATTACTTAAAACGTTTTTACTATATATAAACTAAAAAATTTATGAAAACAACTAATAATTATTTTAACAGTATTTCATGTATAAATAAATTTAGTTAGTATGCCAATATTTTTCTTCATAAATAGAGTTATACGGAGTAACATATAAGTAAATGTATACTTCCAAAACCAAGTACAATTGAGTCCTTTACATTTTGAGAGAATTCTATGCTTTTGTATGCATGTTAGGATCGACTCAACTATGTAATACACTAAAAGATCAGATTCAATCATTAGCTAATCTGACACAAGGATTTATAAACTTATCTCTTAAGTATTTTATGTGGAACTTCTTAACAATTTTTTTTGAACATACGAAGTACTGCGTATAGTTTTACAGGCCTCCAAGAAAAGTGCTGCCAAGCAAATTACCAACGGAAAATCAATACAGACTTTTTTTTATCACATGGAGAAATTAAAAACTAGCAGAGGGAATATCGGGTGTGGGCAAATCAGGAAAATCGGAAGAGAAACAGAAAGGCCAATGGCTAAACGCTGGGTTTAGTGGCATTTTGAGTTTTGGCTGTTTTGATGAAAAAGCCAGATAAAAAAGTTATGTTACCAAACACGTTATTAGCTGTTTCATCTGGTCAAAAGGCCAATTATTAGTCAAAACAGCCAAATTAAAAAGCAGCTGATAGGCCAGCAACCAAACACCCCCAATATAACATTAGAGATACTCTTATAACTCAAGTGAGGTCATATTACTATTTTTATAATAAGTTTTTCCTTGTTTAACTGCATAAATTTTGCTAGAATGAAAACCCACCCAAATTATAGTCAATTTTGATCACTTTTATGTTTCATAGAAGAAATAATTACATAAATATGACCAAAATAAAGATGATTAACAAAAATATGACTAGTGACTAGAGTAGTAATGAAATCATAGTAATTCATGTTCAAGTTTTGAGGTTAAGTTACCACAACACCACATTGTAGTAATGAATAGTCATATTTATGTAAATATGTTTTAGTTTAGTAATATTCTTGTAAAAAAACCCATATTTAAACTTGGTCTCCTAAGTTTAGTTAATAGAAGCTTAACACCCATCTCGATCAAATAGTGAATGAGCTAAATAGTAATATCGTGAACGATATTGGGCTTTTGAATATTAGTTTGAAAAATTAATTTGGTCTATTCATTGGGCTTGGTAGGTGAAAGTTAGTTTAATATGTATGCATTTGAGGTGTTTTTGTATTCGACAAAAAGTCTTATTCCTGTTATGTTTTTTTTCTTTGACATTTATGTTGCAAAAGATTTTATTTTATACATAGTATTTGAAAATATATTTTGTTAAATAACATACTAGTACTATTTTACTACGTTTTGACATATTTTGCAATATACGTTGTTTAATCAAATTTTGGCCCCACCTGATTGAAAATGTTGGATCCTCCTCTGGCAGTGATGCTTCAAAACGTGGTGAAGTGAGCACTCTGTTGTCCGTAACAACCAAGTTGGTCAGGTGGGGCATTCTCAAAAGCTTCTTTGCGCAAAATTACAGTTTTCCCAAGACCCAAGGCATGAAGAACAACAACAAATGCTATGAAGCAAGCCAATGATGATGAGTCATGACGAGTACGAAATTGGGCAAAATCTTCAACCCCAGAGCATCATTGGTGTAGAATTGGAGCACATATTCCCGCTGTCAGCTCCGGCAGAACTGCTGCCGCCAGATCCGACAGAACTTCCACCATCTGCAATCGCTTCCCCATCCGATTTTTACAACATAGGTGATAGGTGAGAACTTGCTTAATAATAGAGGGGAGCTTCACTAAAAACCCATATATAAATAATGATACACTTTTACTATCTACTATTCTTGCCACCGCAAGAGCTTGTAGTATCATTCTTTATTAATAGTCATTCACAATCTATTCATATATAATGCTTTTTTTACTTGTAAATTTTCATACGATTTGGGTCTTCCTTTTACCCACAAATTACACTATATAATTAAAATTAGGGAGATTTATAACTCTAGCCACACAACTTTTGACTATGCATGTTATTAATTAATACTCTAACTATACTCACTTGCAAATTTGATCCTACATTCATTATATTTAAAAATATCTTATTAATAGAAATACATACAGAGTATATAAAGTACGTGCAGACGTGCAGTACCATTTTCAACAAATTCGGATATATATTTGGTAAACCAGTTT